TCACAGCTACAGTTACAACCGTTGGTCTGTTTGAAACAGATAATGACCTGTTTATTTGTGAAATTGCAAATTTAGTATCTACGCAAAGTTGAATAAGTGCTGTAGGAAGGTAAATAACAGAGCAGGAAAATCGGAGAGCTTCTCTTCCATGGCATAAGACCAGACTCTGAGACTGGCATGGCAGCCCATGCCTGTAATCCCAGCACTTGGGAGGCAGAGGCCGGAGGATGGGGACCTCAAAGTCATCTTCAGCTACATGGTGAGGTCAAGGCCGGCCGGCATGGGCTATATTAGACCCTATAAGTAATATAAGATACAAGGAAGGAAGGGAAGTCAGACTGGTTTAAAGGGACAGTAGCCGGAATGTCTTTCACAAGCTAGGGAAGACTAGAATTCACACAATGGGGAGGAACAAGGTAAGCAACCTCGGTCCTCGATCTCAAACTGATGACATGTGTGACGTCCTCGTCGTTATGAAGCAGCTCAGGTCTCCCGGGACAGTTGGAAGTCTCCAGTCCCTTTCTTTTTCTGCCCTCTGCTGGACACTGCTGAACAGAAAATTCAACAAGTGGTTCCTAGAGTGAGGAGTGTGCTAAGCCATTCCGTGTACTATCTAGGGTCCTGTTCTCTTACCTCCTCACAGTCCTGAAAAGGAAACAACAATACCCCCATCTAAACGTCAGCTACAAATTCAGGACATGGACCAATGTATACAGTAAACTACTCCACAGGGGAGAGTTATCATAGGGAGGTATCCGTTACTCCCCCACCCCACTCAGTTTATCCCAAGTGGTCAGTGGGTTTCATGGCGCTTTCTTTTGCTTTTTTTTTTTTTTTGGATTGGTTTTGGTTGGTTGTTTGTTGTTGTTTCTTCTTGTTGATAGGATCTTATTATATAGCTCCTCTGGTGACCTAGAACTTACTATATAGATCAGGTTGGCCTTGAACTCAAAGAGATCTACCTACCTCTGTCTGCCTCCTGAGTGCCGGGATTAAAGGCATACCCCACCACGCCTGGCTGGTTTTATTTTTTGAGACACCCCTGCTATGTAGCTCAGGTTGGCATAAGGCCTTGAGATTCTCCGGCCTCAGTCTCTCAACTGTTAGAACTAACAAGCATGCACCAGGAGACTTTGAGTATTCTCTTTTGTATTATAATAGCAGTAGCTTTTCCTTCAGCTTTCTAAACATGAAAATATTATATGTAACTTAAATCCCCACAACCCACGTCCTGAAGTAACCTGTTCTCAGATGTCATGAAGGCTCCCCAGTCCTCGCTGCCATTGTTCCAGGTCACCCTGGACTGTGTCCTCTGCCCCCTTTCCACTCTTCTCCCCCCTGAACCCGAGCTTTCATTCATTACCACCCTATGAGCTACAGTGACTCAAGGCCGGTGAATTCAGCCAACATTCACAAAAGGCAGGCAGTGGTGGAAAGGCACAGCCCGACACAGCTGCCATCTTGAAATAGAAAACACTGGCCGTGGCCTCCCTGCAATACAGCCCACCATTCTCTTCATGGGATGTTTCTCACAGTCGGATCCTCCTTGGCTGTGGTGTCTCCTGTCTACTGCCCCCTTCCCTCTCCTGACCACTTCTGCTAATTGGCCACTTGGTAGCACCCACATTTCTGTTAATGCCTGAGGATGAGTGAGCTCTTCTGTTCTTTTCTTCCCACTCCCAAGCTAGGCTGTAGCTTTACCTCTTGGGAAACTCAGGCGGGCACCCTGGTTTCCATCGTCCATACAGACAGCCAACAGAGACTTTGAAATTGTGTTTTCAGGTGTGAATTGCTATGCCTGCTCTCACGTACAGCCAGCTAGAGCTGTGATATACACCGGTCTGCTTTAATCATGCCACTGCTACCCTAGACAGCTCCTACGATCTCCTGCCCTCTGTTCTCTGCTCCCTCCACCCGAGAATTACTAACTCTGCAGATGTTGAATAAAAGTAGCGCTAGAGAGTGGATGGAACAAAGTTGAGCTCAGATGTTCAAATACTTAGATGGAAATTTTCGTGCTCCCGTGACCAGTTTTGGAAGCAGCAGGCTTGAACTGTCTGTCTCAAAGCACCCATTTCCCCTTTCATGCCTAGCACCCCATTTCCTGTGGGAATCCATGTGATTCCAGGAGGTTAAGGAGTATATTGTCTATCCCCAGCCACAAGTAGCGTTGAGTAGTGTGATTGTTAATGTTTATATGTCCATAAACATTGTTTGTAACTAACATTTCAGTTAGTATTCTGACGTGGCCTTGTGGCCCAAGCCCAGAAACCCAGCTAGTCAGGAGGCCGAGGCAGGAGGATCTCAAGTTCAAAGCCAGCCTGAGCAACTTAGTGAGACTATGTCTCAAAAGGAAAAGGAGGGCTTGGATTTAGAGACATTGTAGAGTCTTTGCCTAGCATGCAGGCAGACCCTATGAAAAAGCCTGAGCAACATAGATGGACACATGTATGTCAGGCCTTTTCCTGAGTGTTCAAGTCTAGGCTTTTGCACTGAATGAATGGTGGAATCCAAACCACCCCTTCATTTTCTTCCCCTTCAGGAAGATAAGTCTCAACACAGCAGCATACCTGCCAGGTACAGACCTGATCTAGACCCCTGCGTCAAGGGCAGGCAGATCCACTAGCTTTTGATGGGACTGTTCTTGAGCGTCTTCAGATGTAAAACGGGGTTACAGTGCCCACCACACAGGGGTATGAAGAGCATTCAGTGAGCTGACAGAGACTAAGCACCTAGAACAATGCCTGGGTCATAGTAAATCCAGGCGGCGGTGGTGGTGGTGTGGGGTGGTAGAACCCAGCCTGAGGAAAAGGTTGACGAGGAAGTCAAGAAAGTGTCCCTAGAGCTCCAGTGACCTCTCGAACCTTTGGATCAACTGAGAAAACAACATGACACACATCCTATCTCAGGACTTTTCAGTGACACACACTCAGAAATTCCTTTAATGATTTCAACCTACTTGGGTTGAGTTTTGGTTGTTTCCACTGAGGGAAGAATCCTTTCCTGTTTTAGCGTCTGAGTGATTTCTTTTTTTTCCAGAACCACAAAGCATAAAAGGTTTATCCCAACCCCCTTTCCCAGAAAATGGAGCTACCGCCTCTCTCCAACTCATGCCAGTTTTCAGTGGTTCCAGGAAGCCCGTTTCTACCCATCCATGGGGAACTTCCTTCAATACCCTCAAGGTCATTTACCCTTCTAAGGCAGTCACCCAGAGGATTTCTGGGTAGTTGTGAACACACATTTCACTGAAGAGGAAACAGGAATGAACTGTAAGCAATGGGGAGATGATTTGCTTGAGGAAAAGGCAAATTATAAGCACAAGCATTTCATCTCAAAACCTTATCAGAAATGTGGAATCAAGGGGTGCGTAAACTGAACAGTCTACAGTTTACAAAACAATGTACTAAAACTGGCATGACGCAAAGCTGATCACGTCTATATCTCCCACAGTAGCATCTCTACTGACTCTGTCTCTAGGCACTCACAGACATGTGCCCTGGGATACATGGGAATGTGTAGCGATGCACTGTTGGGAACAGCAAAGGGCAAGAAAGTATCCATAGAGCAAGAGTATAAAAATGATACAGGTATTTACTTAATGAATTCCAAGGGCAGTGTGAGTGAGCTACAGCCACACACTTCAAAATTATGGCTTTGGTAAGGGTACTTGCAGACAACCTATAAATGTTATTTATAACTATGCAATAATTATGCATAGGGGCATATCAAGGCTGAAAAACATTAAAATGCTTTAAAAATAAAAAAGATAGTTATGGTTGGGAAGAAGAGGGCACCATAGAAGAGTCTGAAAACTATAACATTTTATGTCCTAATTCAGTAATATGGGTGTTTGTGTTTTATCTTTACATTATTATATTCTTTTGTACGCATATTTTTATTGTGATAAAATATATAAAAAAGTTGGACATTCCATTTTTTTTCATTCTAATCTTTTTTTTTTTTTTTTTGGTTTTTCGAGACAGGGTTTCTCTGTGTAGCTTTGCGCCTTTCCTGGATCTCACTCTGTAGACCAGGCTGGCCTCGAACTCACAGAGATCCGCCTGGCTCTGCCTCCCGAGTGCTGGGATTAAAGGCGTGCGCCACCACCGCCCGGCCATTCTAATCATTTTTAAGTGTATGGCTTAGAATTAAATACGTCCTCCTTTTTGTACAACCATCTCTAGCATTTCTTATTGCCAACTGTGCTTTTAAGTTAATCAGTAAATCATTGTTGGGGTTGGAGCGATGACTCAGCCATTTAGAGCCTCTTGCTGAAGACCGCGGGTTCGATTCTCAGCACTCGCATAGTGGCTCACAAACAAGTTAACTCCAGTTTCAGGGTATCTGATGCCCTCTTCTGACTTCCACAGGGACCATTCACGTACATCACACACACACGTAAAACATTCATACACATAAATCTTTAAAAAACTCATTGCTATGTCCAATGTTTTGACTCCGTTTTCTTCTGAGTTTCGCCGTTTTAGCTCTTACGTCTTTGATCTATTGAAGTTCATTTTTCATTCTTCTGCACCACAAGAAATTAAAAAAAACAAACAAAAAAGAGAATCGTAAGTATGCATGCAAAAGGGACCCTCCCGGGTTACAACGGAAGAGCCTGGAACGGAGGATAAATAACATGTTAAGTCCAACAGTTAGCTGCTGCAGGGAGCTAAAAGCAGCGCCTGCATCTCTCCATGCAAAGCGCTTGACAGCTGTCCACAAACTAGCAAATAAACCTCCCGGAAGCCCAGGCGTTTGGATCCGCCGGCGGCTGGCTCGGATCCACCCACACCCACACCAGCTCCGGGTCATGTCAGCCTCGCGAGTTCTGAATTTCCGGAACACTGGAGCGGCATCCGGGCGGGAGGGACAGACAGCCGGGGAGCAGCTAAGCGGTACGCTTCGGGACTCCGCTCCGCTGCCGCGTGGCATCCAGGCCTGGGTTTTTATCATGCTCTTGCTCTGGAAGCCCTCTGGGCCCGCCCCGGAAGAGGCGGAGCAGGGAGAGGGCTAGGCTCTGATTGGCTGCTCTGAACAGGGCAAGTTTGGCGCGAGTTTTGGCAGCCGGAGGCGTCCGGAGCGGTAGGATGGCATCACCGGGAAGCTTAAGATACCCGGGGTCCCCGGGGTAAGTGCTGCCGCCCCGCACGGCGTCCTGGACGGGCTCAGCTTGTCCCAGAGACTCGCCGACCGGTTCCCACAGTTCCGGGTCCTAGAGTCGTGGGGAGGGGAATTTAGTCCCAGCAGTCAAGCTGGGTGGGAGAGGACCCTAGACACCAGCTTTGCGTGACAAGCAGTTAACCCATCCTTCCGGGTTGGTGGTCATTGCTTTTTTTTTAATGTCCAAGACCCAGCTGTTTTCGTAATGGACAACACGGACCCTGAAGACAAACCAGATCTGTAGCGAGGGTCCAAGCGCCCGCTTGTTTAGTGTTTGGGATGGCCTAAATGCCCAAAGGACATGCAGGGTGCGTCAGGCATCTTTTTATTATAAAGAGAAATACGTCTGAAAAGAAGTCGCCAAATTGTGCTCTGAAAGGTTAGTGCTAGGATCTCCTGGCGAAGGATCTTCTGGGAGTGTCTGGCGCGCATCCAACGCCTGGTAGAGTAAATAGGTCTCCGCTGGGTAGGATGTCTTCCATGGGAAGATTGCCTATGGAAGATGGTGTTTGTAGGTACAACAGGACACAGATCGTGGGAAGTCCACACTCGGCTAGCAGTGAGGAGAAAGATTACAAGTCAGCTGACTAGAGAAATGTTCAAAGCTTGATCTGCTAAGCCACTGGTTTTTGTTTCAACACCTTGAGGCTTGAGACTAGTGAAATCTGTTCATCTTTCACCCCTAAAACACTGGCGCATACAGCAGAGATTGTATAAATGGTTATCGTAGAGTTTTCCATCGTTTGGAAGCTGCTCCCGGACTCCAGCGCAAAGCCAGAGGGAAATTGCTTTGTGTTTTTTGGAGCATAGACAAGAGAAAGGTGGGAAGAAGTCAGGCTAAGCAGCTTGCACCACCTGGTTTTCATACCCACGTCTGTCACGTGGGACAGTTCAGAAGTCACTTAAGTGTTCTGAACCCCGGAGTTACAGTCTGTAGTTATCACAAAGCAGATGTTCTACAGGTCTGAGATCAACTAAAGCTGGGGATTGGTCGGAAGTGGGAAATCTCGGCCTCAGCTTAGAGTTTCTGGGGTAGCGGATGCTGGGGATGCAGTGACTTCGGGCAACTTGTTTTTAACAAGGCACTGAGGCAAAGCAGCAGTGTTTAGCACCCCATTTCAGTCCTGGAGATGAAACCTAGGGTCCATGTGTGCTGGACAAGGGTACCATTGGCCTGCATTCCAAGCCCACGCCTTTTAGGTGGCTCATGTCAGCAGGTGTTAGAGTGTGTGTGGGGGGGGGGGGTACTCGTACACAGAGTAGTCTTGTGAAAATTCTATACCTGGCGCAGGCTTTTAAAAGCATTTTCCTGCAACTCATAGGAAGACATACCTGTTATTGTAACCTAACACACACAATTGAGCTGGTTTACAGGTGGTGTATCTTGTGTGCTCCCCTCCCCCATTCTGCTTCCTTTGTTGCCATAGCTTCTGCTCTGCTGGGTGAGCAACCAAAGAAGAGAATTTGGCAAAGGACTGCCTGGGAAGGATCACAGCTTATAGCACTTTCCCCAATTACTTAAAACATTTTCTAATTCCCCCTTCTTTAACTTTGTTGTCTGTGTTTTAATAGTGCAAAACATTCAAAGAACACTCTGGGAAGAGCACATTCCAGGAAACACGTAAGTAATCTTGGTTAATGCGATTTTTTTTTTAAACCTTTGATAACAAAACTTGTCATTTTGTGGGATCACATTTTTTGTAGCCTTCTTTTGACAATTTTTTTTTTTAATGATTGCTTTATCAGCTGGGCAGTGGTGGCTCACGCCTTTAATGCCAGGAGGGAGAGAGAGGCAGGTGGATCTCTGAGTTTTAGGCCAGCCTGGTCTACAAAGCGAGTTCCAGGACAGCCAGGACCATACTTCGTCAACATTTTAGAACTATCGTTCTTTTTTCTGAGCCTAGATTGGCATTAATTTTATTCAGATAGTTGACATCATGTAAAAGTTGTATAATGTTCTGTATTGTCATTTTTCACTTATAGTAATTTCTCCCTGCTACAGTTTTTTAACAGCTGCACGTGGGTTTATGGTATTCCTCTCGGTCCATATTATAGTTTTATTTTTCTACAGGAAGTGTATATTAAAGGCAAGTGCATTTGTTTAACACTCTTGATTGCCAATTCCGAAATATCCGTTGCCATTTCAAATTAGTGTGATGAAGGTGCTTGCTTTTCAAGTTTAGGGCTAGCTCTTCAGAGCACTTTTGGCCACCTTCTCTGTCCCTGGCTTTCTCCATCTGAGGCAGGCTTTGTCCTGACTCTAGCCCTGCTGCCCTGACCCTAGCCTTGGATGATGCTCCTTCACTGTGGTGAATCTCTAGCATACGTCTGGGGGTGCTCAGCTTTCCTGCCCACCACTGCCCAGAGTAGCTTTGTCCATTGTGCCCTGGGGATGGGTGGGGTGGGGGAGTCGTTCTTTACTCACTTTAGCCTTTTTCCAGCCTTTCTTGCTGGAAATCAGTGTCTAGAATGGATTTTCTCAGCCTTCAGGTTCTCCCTGTGGGAGTTAATTGCCTTGCATGGGATGGAATCTTTTTTGGCTTGAAAGCAAATCTTGGCATTTCTCCATATAACACTCTGAATGAGGCTTTCCCTGAGGCTCGGAGTTTTGTCTGCCAGTGTTATTGCATATTCTTTATATCTTCCAGATTTTTCTTATCTGTAATAATAATATCCTCTTTTGTAAGCTACCATAGGAGATTATCTCATTTTGGTCTTTCATCGGGATTTAGGGTTTAATCTGTGTATTGAACTAGATTGAACTGTAAGCCCCGGTCTCTGCCCTGTAGAAGGCAGCTTTAGCCTGTGTGCGTTCAAAACTGCTTATGAGCTTTTGGGTATGTGTCCTTTTTGTGGGACAGGATCATAGCGTCCCCTACATCAAGGATTTAGGTAAATGATACCCTGTGGGCCAAATGTAGCCTGCCATTTGTTTTTGTACAGCCTTGTGAACTAAGAATGGTTTTTGTTTGTTGTATTTTTTTTTTTTTTTTTTTTTGGTTTTTTCGAGACAGGGTTTCTCTGTGTAGCTTTGCGCCTTTCCTGGAACTCACTCTGTAGACCAGGCTGGCCTCGAACTCACAGAGATCCACCTGGCTCTGCCTCCCGAGTGCTGGGATTAAAGGCGTGCGCCACCACCGCCTGGCTTGTTTGTTGTATTTTAAAATGATTTAAACAAGCTGGACATGATGGTTTACACCTGCTTCTAATTCTAGTACTTAGGAGGACTCCTGTGAGTTGAGTTCAAGACCAGCCTGGAATACAGTGATACCGTGTCTCAAAAAATAAAGATGGCCTAGAATGAAAATGTCTCTTCACCTGTAAAAATGATAGGAAATTTCGGTCCCTGCCTTGGATCATCAGAGTAGTCTGGAGGTTCAGAAAGCGTCAGCTGCTTCCATGGACCGTGGGACTAGCTAGAGGGTCCTAAGGAGAGGAATGTGGTAATGTTCACAGTCGCCATTTCCGTGACTGGTTTTATTCACTCTTAGAAAGCTGATCAAAAGCACAAGCCTAAGGACGTGTTTGACTTTCCTAATAATTCTGATGTCTCAAGCATGCTGGAAGAAATGGAGGAAGAAGAGGAACCGTATGAAACCTTTGGTTAGTATTCTACATTCCTATTCAGGACTTAGTTAACAAGAGATGAGCGGTCATCTCCATTATCTAATTCCAGAGCATTTTTGTTGGCCTAGAAGAAACCTCCCGACACCCGTCAGCTCCTTTTTCCCTTCCTTTGGTCTCTGGACACCATGAATTTACTTCCAATCTCTATGGATTTGTCTCTCCTGATGTTTCATATAAATAGTCATATAATATATATCCTGTTCTGGTGAGCTCCTTTGGATTAGCATCACATTTTCAAGGTTGTAGCCTGTGCTTATTTCATCCTTAATTTTTATGGCTCAATTATGCTCAGTTGGCTTTGGGTTCTCCTTTTCTTGATCATAATGCTGCTATGAACATTCATGGTCAAGGTTTGTGTGTCTGTGTGTGTGTGTGAATTTTTGAGTCTATAGCAACTCTGGTATTAACATTCTGACATTTTTATTCTAGCCAGTCTAGTGAGTATAAAATAATGTCTCATTGTGGTATCATATGCATAGAGGGTTGATCTACGACACACAATGTACTATTTTAAGCGGTTTTAAACGTGCAGGTCTGTGGCCTATAGGTCATCCACATTGCTGAATAACCATCTGTCACCATTCATCTTCAGAACTCTCAATTTCCTTAACCCAGACTCTCTGCAGCCACTAAACAGCTCCCTGTTCTCACACCCCAGCCCCCGGCAACTACTCTGTGAATTAGGCAACTCTAGGAACCTCATGGAAGAGGAAGATCCGATGCTTGCTCTCTTAGTCAGGGTGACTACTGCTGTGATAGAACACTGTGGCCAGAGTAACTTGGGGAGGAAAGGGTTTGTTTGGCTTCCACTTCTCATCACTGTTCATCATCGAAGGAAGTCAGGACAGGAGCTTAAACAGGGCCGGAACCTGGAGGCAGGAGCTGATGCAGAGGCCATGGAAAGGTGCCTCTTACTGACTTGCTCCTCAGGGCTTGCTCAGCCTGCTTTCTTATAGAACCCAGGACCACCAGCCCAGGAATGGCACCACCCACAATGGGCTGGACCATCCCCCATCAATCACCAATTAAGAAAATGCCCTACAGGCTTGCCTGCATTTTCTTAATTGAGGCTCCTTTCTCTCAGATAACTTCAGCCTGTGTCAAGTTGTCGTAAAACTAGCCAGCACACTTGTCCTCTTGTAACTGGCTAGTTTCATTCAGCTATTGCCTTTTGGTTCATTACTCTCGTCATGTGTCCAAACTAACTGCCTCTGGTCCGGTTGTTTTCTGTCTGGTGCTGGGGATTGGCCCAGGATCCTGCAATGGTACAGGACTGTCTTTGTGAACCCGACTCCAGCTGAATGTGGTAGCACACTGTAGTCATAGCCCTTGGGAGGTGGAGGCAGTAAAATCAGAAGTCGAAAGTCAAGCTTGAGTACACAGCCTGGGCTGCATGACTCAAACGTGCTGTCGAAAACACAGCAGTGAGAGAAAGCGGACTTCATCAGCCACTCCTCTGCCATGGAGCTTTGGTGTGCAGACGTCTGAGCCCCGCTTCACTTTTGTGCAGGCACCCACAGGTAGGGCCTCTGGGGTGGGGGTGTCGGTCATAGTTGTAGGGTTGTGTTTGTGAGGACTCCTCGATGCTGTTTGCCACAGTTTCTGTCTTACATCGGTGTGTGTGGTTCAGTTCCTGGCTGACCCAGACTTGCGAGTTTGGGCTTTCTCTGCTTTCTTTCATTCTTTCTCTTCTCTCTTCCTGGTTATAGTTATCTACGGGATGTGAGTGTATCGAATGGTTGTATGTGCGTCTCCATAATGCTGTCAAGTGTCTTCTCGGTGTGCTCCTGATCTGTTGTACATCTTCAGTGAAGTTGGCTGTCTGTGGAAGTTTAGCTTGGATTTATCTGTCTTTGTGCATCCGCTGATGACCCCCCCTCCCCGCCCCAGCTGCAGAATAAATAAATCCCATTGCTTAATGGAGGGCGTCATGGAATATATTATCAGTCTTAAAATCATGCACTTGACATGTTCAGTATTTAAGCTACTATTTATTTGGGGAAGAAAGTTTTTAAGTTTGTACATCATGCTAGCATTTGAACACTAAAAAAAAAAAAAAAAGTGGTTGCTTGGCTCTTCCCAGCTCCCCTTGCAGCAATTAAGTCTGTTGGGACTGGTCACCTCTTTTGTCCCTTCAGGTTTTCCATCCCTGCCATATCCCCCGCCCCCCAGGTAGGAGCAGCCTTAGCGTCTCCTTTCCACTAAGGCCCCGTTGTCTCCTGCATCTTCATTCAGGCTCACTTTGTGCTCTAGTGTAAGGTTCTTGCAGTCCAGGTGAGCTCAAGAGGCAGGGAAGTGAGAGAGGACAGGCGCCCTCCCCAGCGCCCTCAGATGCTGGCTCGGCACTCTGTGAGTGATGACGTCAGAGGGCCGCCCTGTAAACTCGAGCAGTTAATAACTGGTGCAGTGGCCTCCCGGCTGTACATATGATGATGCAGAGCGCTATGGAAAGACCACGTCAGTCTTCCCATTCATGTTTATCTTATGTTATGAAAACATTTCTATCAATATACATGAGAACATAGATACATAATTTGAAAATATGTCTTTAAAAAGTTTTTTAGCTTTATTTTCTTTTGTGTGTATGAGTGTTTTGCTTGCATGTATGTCTGTACCGTGTGCATGCTTGGTGGCCGTGGAGGCCAGAAGAGGGTATTGGAAGTCCTGGAACTGGAGCTAGAGAAGGTTAAAAGCTGCCTTGTGGATTCTGGGAATCAAGGCCAGGTCCTTGGCAAGAGCAACAAGTGCTCTCGACCCCTGAGCCACTTCTCCAGCCCCTGAAAACGTGTTTTTTATTGGCAATAAGGTTTATGTTTTCTGTTGCTGGAGTACGAGATAAACATTGTCTGCGAAGTGCCTTGTATAACAGACTTTGACTTTGTCAGCCATTTAAACAAAGATGGCCTTGTATCCACTGTCAGGGAATATAACTTAATTCCCCAGAGAGCCCACGTTAAATTTGCTGTTTTGTTTTGTTAGACCCTCCTCTGCACAGTACTGCTATCTATGCTGAAGAGGAACTATCCAAACACTGCGGGTCCTCTGCCTCTCCGGCCACTCACGGAAGAGAGGAAGGCAGAAGGTACGGATCCATCTCGAGCAATTGGGGCTTTTGGTTGGTTGGTTTTGTTTCAGGAGGGTTAGATTTACTTCTATTATTTTTAATTATGTGTGTGGGTATATGCAAGTGAGCTCAGGTGCCCAAGGAGTCCAGAGGCGTTGGATCCCCAGGTGCCAGAGTGTCTTCGTTACGGTTTCTATTGCTGTGAAGACACCATGACCACCACAACTTTTATAAAGGAAAACATTTAATTGGGGTGGCTCACTTACAGTTCAGAGGCTCAGTCCATTATCATGATGGGACATGACAGTGTTCAGGCAGACATAGTGTTGGAGGGGTAGCTGAGAGTTTTACATCTTGAAATTCTGGCTATAGGAAGTGAACTGACTCACTGGGCATGGCTTGAGCATATATGAGATCTCAAAGCCCGCCTCCATAGTTGATACACTTCCTCCAACAAGACCACACCTACTCAAACAAGGCCACACCTCCTAATAGTGCCACTCCTAATGAGCTTATGGGGGCCTGTTACATTCAAACTACCACACAGAGTTACAGATGGTTGTGTAAGTCACCTGACATCAGGTCGTCAGGAAGAGCAAGTGCTCATAACTGCCAAGCCATCTCTAGCCCTTAAGCGGTTGTTTCTTATAGATATTAAAAAACAAACAAACAAACTAAAGTCATTTTAGAATCTTTTGAACCAGTCTGTTATGATTTTCCTCAAAAAAACTGCTGCATAAAAACATAATTTTCAGCCTTTAATCCCAGCACTCGGGAGGCCGAGGCAGAGGCAGGAAGATCTCTGTGAGTTCGAGGCCAGCCTGGTCTATAAAGCAAGTTCCAGGACAGCCAGGGCTACACAGTGAAACCCTGTTTCAAAAAACAAAAACAAAAAAACAAAAAACAAAGCAAATGCCCATAAAACCTGACTTTCTGTAATTGTTATTGCTTACCGTAACTATGACTGGCACCCTGGTGCCCTAGCATGCCGTCTCTTTGGTTGGGTGGCAGATTGAAGATCTAGACGGAAGAGGTGTCTGGTGCTGAGCGCTGCAGTGTCTGCTCCTGGGCTCAAGGGCTCTGCATCCTTTGGTGATGTCCTAAGTTTATTCATTTGGATTCTGACTCTTTCTTGGGTTTATTCCAAGGTTATTTGTCAATATTTTTGTCTGTTTGGCAGTTACTATAAATAGGATCTTCCATTTTATCTGTTGTAGTTAATAATATGTGTGAAAGCTATCAGTTTCTTACAACACACACACACACACACACACACACACACACGTGCACACACACGAAGGCCAGAGGATGACCCTGGCTGTCTTCCTCTGTCACTTCCTACCTTACTTTTGTGAGACATAGTTTGTCACTGAACCTGGACCTCATGAATTCAGCCAGTGGCAGGGCAGGAGCCCCCAGGACTCCCTGTCTCCACCCCAGTCAGCACTGGGGTTCCAGCCAGCCTTTTATGTGAGTGAGAGGGAGAGGGGCATTGGAGAGACCAGTTTGTGAGCTGCTTTCATGGTGAGGGTGGGGTGGTGATTTCAGAGATGATGGGAAGTGGATGGGTCTGAGGCATAGTCGAGAAGCACACCGGTAGGTCTTGATGCTGGAAGAGAGTGGCCAACCAGGCAGCTCTGGGATTGCTTCACGGTCTCTAGATAGATGGGGTTAATGGTCCTGCTACCAAAGGAAGGACTTAGGAAATAAGGCAGGGTTTACATAGAAGTACAAAAGAAAGTCAGGGAGGCATGGGGAGAGCTTAGCATGTCCCAGGACCCCAAGAGGCCTCAGTGACAGTTGGCACCTTCTCCCTAAGTTGTTCAACTGTTTTGTTCTTGGATCTCTCCCTCCCTCTCCTCCCGCCCCCCAGCATCCTGGCTAGCTGGTCTGTCATGGAGAGGCCTTGCATCTGAGACCACCTCTGCTGGAGCCGATGCTTCTAGGTTTAGGTGTTGCTGCGAAATCTTCCACTCCCCCCATCTGCCTGCATCTGCCTACCCAAGGCTCCAGATTAGCACAGGGCCTTCTGTGTCCTACACACAGCAGGCGGTGACCCAGCCATGGGACCAGTGACTTGGGGGACCTGATCACATTGGCCCATGATTACTCAGTTGCTTAGGGAAAAGTGACGCGAGCAGATGTAAGAAATGGCCAGAAAATCTAGAAAGGTGACAGAGCTGCCGTGGCAGGTAGAAACCTCCTCACAGCCCACTTGTTTTCACGCTGAAGCAGCGTATAGAACACGTTCTGACAGGATAATGACGGCTTGTTGTTTGGCAGTATGGACCCTTCTGCAAACGAAGCAAATGGAAACAAGTCTGTAAAGATGAGTTCGAAAAAGGTATGTGGGGTGTTTCTTCTTCTGTCTTTATTCGCAAGGAACTTCATACTTTACTTGGAGTAGATGCAAATAGAGAAAAACGTCCTGTAGCAGTATTTTCCTATACAGAAATGTCTGAGAAATTTCTTTTATAATAAAGGAAGTTTAAAAAATAGATTGATTTGTTTTGTGTATGTATGTATGTGGGCATGTACGTGATACAGTGTGTTTAGAGGTCAGAGGACAGACAACTCGTGGGAGTCCATTCTTCACCTCGACCGTATGGGTCTTAGGGATTGAACTCAGACTTGGTGGCCAGTGCCGTTCGTTCCCTGCCGCACTATCAGACTAGCCCAGGAAAAAGATTTTTATATCCGCAGTGTTATGAAAGAGTTCTCAGCTTTCTACTTACCCGCCAGTTTCTGCAACATTCTGATAGTGTGTTCAGGTTGTGGCTTACAAAGGCAGAGGGAAATTGTTGGCATTCTGATCGTGCTGTCTTCTATATGTCATGTGCAGTTTTGATGTTTATAGATGGGGATTCCGTGGCCCCCGACATTAAGAATCCTAAGATTTGCGTTTTCTAAACTGGCCGTGCTGTTTCCTTCGTAGCCGAGTAGAAAGCTGGATCCCATCAGCGACGAGTGTGAGAGCTCTGAAGATGACGTCAGGAGGAGAGTGGGGTCCCTGGAGAGAGCAGAACAGCACCAGGCTGCTCCTGCAGTGTCTTCGGCACCCCCTGTGAAGCCAGCCGAGCGATCCACTCCTAAGAGGACAAGACCCCACAGCACTCAGCCCTCTGCTGCAGAGGGGACTCGAGCAACACAAAGACAGCGGGTGAGCAGTGTTTGCCATCCGGCCCTCAGAGAGAAAAGTTCATTAGAAAGATTGAGGAGGAGGAGGGCTGGAGAGCTGGCTCAGCGCTCTTCTTGAGGACCTGGGTTCGATTCCCAATACCTGTATCAGGAGGCTTACAGCTGCTTGTAACCCTAGCTCCAGGGGGCTCTGCCACCTCTGACCTCTGTGGGCACTTGCATGATGTGCACATACACCCCTCCCCCCATACACATAATTAAAAACTAATAAAAATAAATCTTAAAAAAAAAAAAAGATTAATGGGGACTGGAGAGGTGGCTCAGAAGTTAAGAGCACTAGCTGCTCTTCCAGAGGTCCTGAGTTCAATTCCCAGCAAACACATGATGGTTCACAACCATCTGTAATGAGATCTGGTGCCCTCTTCTGGCCTGCAGGCGTACATGCAGACGGAACACTGTATACATAATAAATAAATCTTAAGAAAGAAAGAAAGAAAGAGAGAGAGAGAAAGAAAGAGAACAAAAAAAGATTAAGGAAGAAATAAAAATTTTAAAATAAGTATAGAGCTTTTATTACAGAAAGCAATGTTTCCTTTAGAAAACCTAGATGATCTAGAAATATAGATAAATTTATCTACAGAACAACACCTGTGTCCTGGTGTGTGCTCCACAGTCTTTCCACGACATCATTTTAACCAGTGTTTGCACTCTGTTCATGGGTACCCATAGTATCGATTGATGGAAATTGCAATTTTGGTGCTTTGATGAGTTTCTTTATATTCTTGAGATTGTAATATGGTGACATCATCTCCCTTCCCTTTCCTCCCTCCAAGCCCTCCTATACACCCCCATTGCTCTTTTTCAAATACACGGCCTCTTTTCTCACTAATTGCTAGTGTGTGTGTGTGTGTGTGTGTGTGTGTGTGTGTGTGTGTGTGTGTGTTTTCCTCAGTGTGTAAGTATAACCTGCTCAGTCATGGATTTCTTTGTAGCAAAGTCTTCATATATACTCTTGATTCATTTCTTTATGAAGAAATGATATGGGTCATAATTTGTTTTTGAGGTCATTGAAATATAGTATCTTTTGGCTCATATTCTTATATATTTTATTAACTTATTTGGTTGAATATTTTAGATAAATAATTCTGCTTATATTGGTAGCCAGAGATACACCCTCATGAATTATATGTGTAACCACGAATGTCGTCATAGGTATTCTTATAAGAGAGATGTAGATTAGACACAGAGGGTGATGTGAGGGTGGGTGAAACGTCCATGGCACCAGTCACAGCCCCCGGAAGCTGGAATGGACAAAGAATGCTTTTACACCCCCCCCACACACACACCCCTTGCTGGGGACAGGGATGGGTGGGGGTGGGCTGGGGGGTAGGGGCTGCCTATAATCTTGACTGGGTCACTTCTGTTCCCCAGGAGGTTCTCTGCTAAGACTGTTGTTCCCTTCCTAGACACAATGGCCACCGCTTCAGCCCTGGTTTCCTGAACCACTGTCTGGGTCATCTTTGGGTCAACTTCTCTTGGGTCTGTTTTTGTCTTGACTCAGGGTCACATTTTCTGGTGTGTCCATTTTAGACTAGAACTTGAAATGTAGTCCCTGTTGTTTGGAGATACTGAGTTCTGTGTCCTGTCTTGTGAGTGGCTATTCTGAACTCAGCCTGACATTGGCCTGCTGTTTTGAAATTACAGGCTTGATTTTATCCTTTGCTAGGGGTGAGTGTGTAGAAGAAAGCCTAAGATGTTTTCCCAGTATCTAATTTAGTGGCACTCAGTTTCTCTATTTGTTTATGATTGTTTCACAACTAATTACCACAAAGTTGGTTACTTACACATGCATATTTATCATGGCATAGTTTCTGAAGGCTGGGAGTCCAGCTTCAATTTAGCTGGCTTCTTTGCTCGGGGTGGTATAAGGCTGAAGCCGAGGGCTGTCCAGGACCAACCTCTCAGGTGAGGCTTGGATTTCTCCTTAAGAGTTTTCAAGTTGTTGATAGAGTTGAGTTCATTGAGTTCATTTCTCTCTTTTTGGAGGTTGAGGTTGCTCTCAGTTCCTGCAGGTGCTATATGTGGCCCTTGAAGTATGGTGCCCACATCTGCAGAGCCAGCCCAAGACTACAGGTTACGACAGCGGTGTCTTACCCACACAGAGAGTCCAGGGAACAGATCCTGTCCTGTTCACAGGTGCTGCCCAAACTTGAGAGGGCGGGAATTCTGGCTGCCAGTCATCTTGGAATTCTTACCTTTGTGCTCTTCCTGGTGAATCCCTTGAGGAGTTGGTTTTAGGCTTTGTTAGGAAGGGGTTCTCGAGTGGGCCTCACGCCAGCTCGGGAGTTTCCCAGCATGCTTCCGTTGCTGTCCTCTGCTAGACACGTTCCCGTCAGCATTCGCACAGATGGAGACCTCAGCACCTCAGAGTGTTGTGTGTTGCCTCGTGTCCTGGAACCCCTGGCCTAAGGTTGTCCTTCATCTTTCCTAAGAACGAAATAAGAACTGGAGCTAAGAGCAGCTGATGATTTGCTAATGTCGTCTTAGTCTTTACATTTTAGAGAAAAGAATTTTTCCTGAATAGCTATACCGTTTCTTCTTTTGTTTTTTGGTAGAAAACTCAGAAGGAAGTGAGGCCGTCTCCCAGCAGAAGGAAGACACCAGGGAACAGAGCCACAGACTCGGGTACAGTGGCGCTTTATCCTTGTCACTTGTGGAGTGTCTCCAAAAGTTCCTGTTTTTAAGTGTCCTGGTTGTTGAAAGAGCAAACTGTATTGGGGGTGGGGGGGCAGATGTGTTGAGATAGTTCCTGGCTGTCCTGGAACTCACTGTGTAGATCAGGCTGGCCTGAACTCACAGATATCCATCTGCCTCTGTCCCCCAGAGTACTGGAGCTAAAGGCGTACACCACCATCTTGGCTAAAACTGCCACTTGATTAAGAAATTATGACTTTGGAGTAACATTTTTCCTTTTTTATCATTTTATCATGAATTTTAACAATGCACACTAATACATGCATATAATAGAGTTTGATAAAATCCAACCCCATTCTCTCCCCTCTCCTCCTTACTTGTCCCAAGTTCAGTTCCCAGCACCCACATCAGGCAGTGTACAACAGTTCCAGGGCATGTGTGCCCTCTCCTGGCCTCCATGGGTACCTGCATGCACTCACACAGACACTTACACGTAATAAAAATGAAGTCCTGTGTAGACGGAATTACACGCGGTAGTCTGTTTGAGAATCCTACTGTTGTGAGTCCTGTCCTTGCTCACTACAGGGCTATGATAAATAAAGCCTGGTGACCCCACCCACCCCTTTTGTTTTCTCTTCCCTCTTTCTTTCATCTTTTTAACCCGTGCAGTGCTAGGGATTGAGCTCCTGGCCTTGCCCGTCCTAGGAAAGTACATGGAGCTCGGGCTCCCGCCTCTTTATGAACTGCCTCCTGCCCGTGAACTTTCGTATGCACAATTTTGTCAACATGCTTTTATTTCTCTTGGAGGAATAGGGAGTGAAATTGTTGAGTCATAAGATAGACATATCCCAATTTCCCAAGTCACTGTAAACTCCTGCTATACGCTGCACAGTTTAAAATGGTACTAAAAATAGAAATGGCCGTGTCATGTGGACAAGCGGAATAGAGTTCAATGTAGCTGAAAGGAGACCCCACTCAGGAGCACGTTAGTGTGGAGAGCCTGTCTCCAAAGGCAAGCTCTAGACGCAGGAAGAGTGACGGCAGGCGGGTTTGTTAGACTGGCCTGGAACAGGGAGAAATGAGTGTGGTTTTAGCTGTTTCTACACCCTGGTAGGGCTACGGTTGTTCAGGGCTCGGAGTCCTGGACCTAGAGCCAGGTTCCAGAGAATGAGTCTATTAAACTGACATGTGCTTACTCTTCTAGATGCTTCTGAAAGTATGCATATTTGGTGTCTAGAAGGAAAGAGACGTGGTGACATCATGGAGTTGGATGTTATTTTGTCTGTCTTTGAGAAAACCTTCCTGGAGTATAAGTAAGTCCTTTGATGTTGTAATGCTTGGACCTGGTCAGTTGTGCTCCGAGTACCACTGGGTTCATCCTAGTTTTTAGTATTATTACGTTTAAGATGTCTTTACATTTTCATTATAATCCTTTTACATACATTTAGTATGCTAGTTTCAAGTTATTGAATCGTCTATTCTAGACATTTCTCATAGACTTGAATTTAATCTAGAAATAAGTGTCTCCCCCAGTGCTGTTAGTTTTTCTCAGTCAGATAGTGTATGCCAAGTATGGCCACACTCCAGTCCCTGCCAGCTCCATGAAGGCAGGGATGGGGGAAGAGCCCACGGCTACCCAGCCTCCATCACTCATGGCAGAGAGCAGCCGCTGCCTCGTAAGGGCTTCACTCTTGCACCCCTCTGGAGCAGGCTTTCCTTTGGACCACCAACCAGCTCCCAAACCATGACACGGAGACTTCTTATTAGTTATGGATGCTCAGCCTTGTCTTATGCTTGACCCACTAGCTCTTATAACTTAATTTAACCTGTTTCTCTTCATCTACATTTTACCTCGGGGCTTTTTACCTTTCTTTCATTCTGTATGTCCTACTCTGTGTCTGTCTGTCAGGCTCCAGGCATCTCTTTTTTTTCATTCCTTCTCTCTCCATTTTCCCTGCTAGCCTAGATTCCTCCTCCTACTTATTCTCTCTGCCCAGCAGCCCCACCAGTCCCTCTCCTGCCCAGCTATTGGACATTCAGGGAGCCCACATGGAGTCAACTGACTGACCAAGGGGCAAAGACAGTACAGTGGAGGCAGTCAGAGAGAGACAAACGGTGCTGCAGGCGGGCTGTGTGCTGCACACCTTCGTCCCGGGCTCTGCAGGCAGGAGCCAGCCTGGTCTACATGTTCTAGGCCGGCCAAGGCTACATAGTGAACAAATATAAAGAAAAATAAAGTCTCAAAAATAAAGAAAACACAGGTACTACACCAGTGGGACATCCATAAACAACCAATACTGCCCCTTAACAAGCTGAACCAGATTGGATCACAACCCTAAATGTAAATCTGCAGAACTAGAGGAGAACATAAGGGAAGCTGCAAGTGACCTTGCATTTGATAATGACCTGTCTACAGCGAGAGCACAACCCATCTAGGTTCATAAGCTGGACTTCAAGACTTAATCATTTCTGCTCTATGCAAGATACTTCCAAGCCTGAAAAGATAGTCCACAGCATGGAAGAACATCTTTGCAAGAGACTTACTTGTTCCCGACCGACCCATGCTTGAGCAGGCAATCCTAAGTAGGTGGATCACAAAAAAAGACAGTAAAGTAGAAGAACTTGAAAAGAAGGGATATGATAGGGAAGGGAAGGGAGTAAGAGTGGATCACGAGGGGGCTTTGATCAAATAACATACGTGTGCATGAAATTATAAGAGAATAAAGTTTTAGATGTATATGGTAAAGGACTGTTACTCAGAATTTACAAAGAACTCTTGGAAACTCGGTGATAAAACCGTGGATTGGGGGTGTGGCTCAGTGGTCAAGTGCTTTTCTAGGTGCTCAAGGCCCTAGTGTGTCAGTGGACAGCTCAATCCAGTCCTGGGCTGGAGACCTAAAAGCTGTTCCTGTGTCCTACCCCGAGGTTCCCAGAGCCTGTCCACCGGTTTCTTCTCCTATTCTCTCCCTGCTCCTCTCCCTCCCTCTCCTCTGTCTCTCCCTCCCCCATCTCTCTCTTTTTTTAAAAAATATTTATTTATTCATTATGTACACAGTATTCTGCCTGCATGTGCCCTTGCAGGCCAGAAGAGGGCACCAGATCTCATTACCTCATTCCGGATGGTTGTGAGTCACCATGTGGTCACTGGGAATTGAACTCAGAACCTCCAGAAGAGCAGTCAGTGCTCTTAACCACTGAGCCATCTCTCCAGCCCCCTTCCCCTCTCTTATTCCCAGTTTGATTAAGTATGAGAAAAAGCTATAGGTTTTACCGTGCTGTCTTAGGTATTTCAACAATATGTGCCAAACTATATGTACTTATGTATCAAGTAAATGAAATGCATCCTTCAGAATCCTTTATGATACCTATTTTGGTTTTCTTATAACAATTTACAGACCAAGAGTAGAATCTGAAAGGTGTAATGAAGCCATCAACAATTTTTATTTTAAAATTAAAGGAGAACTCATCAGAATGGTAAGTTCACTGACATAATTATATTGCTTAAAATTATTTATGTTTTTTGTTTGTTTGTTTGTTTGAGACAGGGTTTCTCTGTGTAGTTTTGGTGCCTGTTCTGGATTTCACTCTGTAGACCAGACTGGCCTCGAACTCACAGAGATTTGCCTGGCTCTGCCTCCACAGTGCCTGGATTAAAGGTGTGCGCCACCACCCGGCTTATTTATGTTTTTCAAGACAGGGTTTCTCTGTATAATCATGGCTGTCCTGGAACTCACTCTGTAGCCCAGGCTGACCTCGAACTCACAGAGATCCGCCTGCCTCCGCCTCTTGGGATTAAAGACGTGTGCCACTGTGTCTGGCTGCTCCAAATTGTTTAAACTAGAGTTTGGAAAGTGTCCTGTGGTTGTAGAAAAGCTTGCATTTGCCGGCTCTGTGGAGTAAACCCATGAGAACTGCCCTTATTTCTTTTTGTGGGTGTGTGGATGTAGAATTGCACATATGCATGTATGTGGAAACCAGAGGCCCACGCCAAGTAACTTCCTCAGTCGGTCTACAACTTATTTTGTGAGACAGGGTCTCACTGAACCTGAAGATCATTGATTTTCACAGCGGGCCTGTGAGCTCCAAGGAGCTGCCCTCCTCACCAGCACCTGGTAAAGCCAAATGTGCTGGTGCTGGGAATCTGAACTCGGGTCCTTGCGCCTTCACAACAGGCAGTTTGTCTGGTGTCTCCCAGCAGCTTCTTACATGGAACTTGAAACACTGAATTTTGGAAAACTAGACATACTTGTCTTTTTGTTGTCTTTGTAGCTTAAAGAAGTCCAGGTGCTGAGAGCCCTGAAAAGGAAGAACGCCAAGGTGAATCGGGGTCTCTTAGTGGGTCTCAGGGTAGGAAATGACACCTGCTGTAGCTTATAACCTGCACACCAAGGTGAATCGGGGTCTCTTAGTGAGTCTCGGGGTAGGAAATGACACCTGCTGTAGCTTATAACCTGCACACCAAGGTGAATCGGGGCCTCTTAGTGAGTCTCGGGGTAGGAAATGACACCTGCTGTAGCTTATAACCTGCACACCAAGGTGAATCAGAGTCTCTTAGTGGGTCTCTGGGAGGAAACAGGAGGAAATAACACCTGCTTTCCTTTATAACCTGTACAGTTTGTGTAAGCTCTTTGTGGTTTGGGTCAGGTTTTAATTTGATTTTGCAATGTTAACGGAGACTAAGGAATGGGGATCTCTGTTAGTCTGCGGTCATTATCATTTCGCACCTGAGACAATCAGCTTATAAAGAGAGAAGGTTATTTGGGCTCGGTTTGGGAAGTTCTGGTCCATGACTGCTGGGATCCACTGTGTTAACCTGAGTAATTATTGCATTGCTCAGATGATCTCCGACATGGAAAAGAGGCGGCAGCGTTTGATTGAGGTCCAGGATGAACTGCTTCGGTAAGATACTGTCCACTCCTGCTAGGACTCACCTACAGGGCAGGAGAGCTTGTCACTTACGGGAGTGCTGTTTGCAGCCGTGACCCAGTTTCCTTTGCACGTGGACAGTCAGTGGCGGCAGCTTCTGATGCCCAGTTGCGGAGCCTTAGCAAAGGACAGTCTGCACGCTCAGTCTCCCAGCATGTCTGGTCTGGCCTCAGGCAGCCTGATTGCAGATTTAATGAGTAGACTCCAGGACTAGACTGTCTGGGACTTGAATCAGGCTCTACCACTGACTGCAGACCTGGGTGAGTTCCTGACTTTCCCAGCGCCTCATTTATGGGTATAATTGTAGTATATGGGTACAACTGTTCCTCAGAGGGTGTTGTGTGAGCCGCTGAGTAAGCCTAGGAAGGGTTCTCGGCAGCAACTCATGCAGATGGTTCTGCTTATGTTGTTTGCTTGCTTGTTTTGTTTTTCAACAGATGGTCTTGCTGTGTAACCCAGGCTGGTCACTGGCTCTTTAGTTACTGTTGAAACATACACTCTACAATGAAACTCATGCCAGTCCATGTCCTGAGGTCTAGGCTTGGGGGCAGTCCACATGCATTAGTGTTCACACACACACGAGTCTGGCAGTCTGTCTCTATATTTTGGCCTTCTGAGGTATGGAGTGCCGTGTGAGACAGAAGCTAAAGTGATGTAGGACTGGAGTGCTCTCCACTCTTAAGATGCTTTAAAAGAGCTTGGACAGGCTGAGGATGTGGTTCAGTGGTAGAGCAGCTGCCTGGCATGAGCAAGGCCGTGGGTTCAATTCCCAGGACCACATGGGTGTGGTAGCAGGAAGCTTGAGCAGAAAGGAGGTATGCCAGCAAACACTTGAAATACTGTGTAAGTAAGCACTAGGTTTTAAAGTGACTGCACAGGATTTTGAGAGAGACCAATGAATTGTCTATTCCATTGTTTACAAGTTTAGTCTATGGGAGGAACTAGAAAGTGTGTTCATTGGCTCTGGCCAAAACATGGAAAATTGGGGTAATATAGTAATCATGACGGTAACAGTTCACAGCTTCCTTTACAACATGGGCAGTTCTTAGCCAATATGATTCCATGACGTAGGCCATTGAATGGCTCTATAACAAGGTTCTGTTTGGTTAACCTTGGCATCCATGTGAGACTGTTGAGATGTGTTGAGACTGGCCTCTTTAGTTCCTTGTCTAGATGCCACTGTAGTAGGACAGACATTTTGAAAAAGCATAGTAAAGAAAAGCATGTTATAGTTTTTCATATGAGAAGCCTAAGGCACAGGGAGTCACTTCACCTCAGCCGGTCCCACCCTCAGGAAAGACAGGGAATGCAATCCCACACCTCTGACCACCACCACCAGTCCAGTCTGGAGTGTGCTGAAGAAATGTTGCAGTTGTTCAGTGTGCAGAGCTCTTTTTTTTTTTTTAATTGAAAATAATTGTTGCTGAAGTTTTCCTGTGTCCACTGAGCTCCTGCAGCTGCTCAGACCCAGGTAAACACACAGCGACTTGTATTACTTATAAACTGTATGGCCGTGGCAGGCTTCTTGTTATCTAGTTCTTATATCTTAAATTAACCCATTTCTGTAAATCTATACCTTGCCACGTGGCTCGTAGCTTACCAGTATCTTTACATCTTACTTCTCATGGCAGCCGTGGCTGGCAGCATCTCCTCACTCAGCCTTCCACCTCCCAGCATTCTCCTCTCTGCTTATCCTGCCTATACTATACTTCCTGCCTGGCTACTGGCCAATCAGCGTTTTATCAGTCAATCAGAGCAACACATTCACAGCATACAGACATCCCCAGCAAATAATTTTTTTAAATTTATTGTTATTTTATTTATTATTTCTGATCATGGTTCCCCTCCCTCATCTCCCAGATCCTCCCCACTTCTCCACCCATCCAATGCCATGCCTTCTTTCTCTTTAGGAAAACAAATAGGCAAATAAAAACAGAGAGAGAAACCAAAGAAAAAAGCACGAGAAACACACATACAGATGCACTATTCTTACATTTGAGAATAGTTGGTTTTTATATTTTTATTTGCAAGATGAGACTGGCAGCCTTTCTTCCTCCCCCACCATAAATCACAAGTTACCCCTTTTCTTTATAGGTGAAGAAACTCAGCCCCAGGGAGGCAGCAGTTGGCCCAAGGTCATGCACACATCTTTCTATCCAGGCCTTATGCCTGCTTTTCTGTTGATTTTATTTGGCCTTGGAAGCTGGAGATTTTAATAAGGGAACTTTCTGCATGGCCTCCTGGTTAAACTGTCATGCTGGCTACTCCTGCCTGTTGGCCAAATTTACATTAATCCAGTAGTTTCCAGGACTTGGACGACTTGAATTCAGCATCTGTGAGGCATGTTCACTGTGGCCATCACTGCTAATTGTGTATCACAGTTGAGATGAACGGAAATGTAGAATCTTCTACATTCATAATCTGAGAGGCAAGCGCAGGTCATCGAGCCCACCCCCATTTCTTCCTTCTTCTCCCAGGATGGTCATGTCCTATATACTGCTGGACTTTATGTCATTTATGTGGGAGAAAATGGTATTTTTGGTTTGGGTTTGTTCTTTATAGTATGGGCATTTTACTATTTTCAGTCCATGAACAGTACATATATTTCTATTAATTTGTGCTTTACCCAATTTAAGATTTAAAAAAAAAAATTGTTGTCTAGATTAGAACCACAACTGAAACAACTACAAAAACAATATGACAACCTTAAGGAGAGAAAGTCATCACTGAAGAATTCCATGCATTTCTTATCTAATTTAAAACAGCTATATCAAGACTATTCGAATGTCCAAGAGAAAGAACCAAAGAAAAAGGAGAAGGTGAGTCCCACTCACCTTTACTGTACGGCAGGAGATGGTGTGGACATTCGCTTGTAGAGTGCCAGGAGCTTTGAAGAAAGGTAACCAGCAGCATTATTGTAAGTCAGTGAGATCACAGCATCACCTTTAGCTACTTAATGAAGAGAAGTATCCGTGTTACTCCCACGTTCCCCCTTCAGAGAACTGCACTCGGAGGGCGGTAAGGGCGGTGTGTACTGTGCACAACTCTCACTTGAACAACTACACTCTGCTTTATTCGTTTCCATCAATACTCGGCTCTCTCAGATGGGCTGTAATGACCAGCTACCTTTATTTGTCCAGCCCATGGTCATGCTTTCGTAGCTGTCCCACAGAAATGGCAGGATTGGCTTGAGAGGTTGAGAAACAGGAAGACAGTTGGGAAAATGTAGCTTTCTATTGCTTTAATACACTTTGAAGTTGCTTCTGGGACTTTGCTATTGCTATGACACCTAATTAAGATAAATAGAAATGTTTGCTAAAAAATTGTAAGTTTGTTTACCTAATAGAACTAGAAAAATATGATTATACTAATAGAATTATGTATAGAATTACACTAATAGAATTGTGTATAGAATTGTATATAGACTTGTACCAATAGGATTGTGTACAGAATTACACTAAGAACTGTGTACAGAACTACACTAAGGATCGTGTGTAGAACTGTGTACAGAAAGCGATACATAATTACACACAATGTCTCTGCGTATCTAATGATCAGTTTTGTATTCTTCACCTCTGAATTCAATTTTAAGAATCTGGCATTGATCTAAGTTTTCCTGAGCTGAAGATTTGTTCATATATAAGCTACAAAAACAAGTTTTTAAAATGTACCTAAAGTTTACTTTAGGGATTTGGTTACTAAGTTTGTGAAAGTTATAGTAGCATTGACCCAGTCTGAACACGGTCCTCAGTTAAGCCAAGATCACTCTTTTCACGTGCAAGGCAAATGCTCCCCGATCTAACCCAGGGCTTGAACACCAAGCTGTGGTAACTGTGGAATACAGTGCTGCTCTCACAAATGAGGTGGTATGCCTTCAGTGTCTGTTGTACTGTTGGGCACTTACCCTTTTTTCCTGGGACATCTGGAGATGTCACACCGCTCCTTACAGAGTGGGTGCTTGAGGTGTCTTGAGCGTAGGCGATCCTACATCTGTTTGGTTGAATTCTCCAGTAACATGGTATGTGTGTGGCAGAAAACAAACCCCATTGTTCTGAGGGGTCACCACTGTCTGGCAGCTTTTCTGCTCAGTTTTCATCACTGAGAAAAATACCTTGGAAACACATTTATCAGCAAGCTGCCAAAAGTATGGTAAATTATTTAAGTGGAATTTAATTTCCCTCAGATAGTTTGCAACAGGAAGTTTGGCTTTGTTAATTACTCCCAGGTCATGAGTTGCATTTCGAGTTCTAATTTAGGCTGGCTTTGTGTTTTAACTTTGTGCTTACATTTGGAATGGGAACCTTTCAGGCTGAATTGATCCAATAAGTAACTGTCCTAAGTAGACTTTAATAGGCCATTCTTCTCATTCCATTAATTCTTGCAGCCAGAGGAAACCTGCTCTAGACATTTCTGTTTTAAAACAGTTGCGATCAAGTAGCCCCCACATACCACTAACACACTTGCCTAGTCCACGTTTGAGGCATGACTTGCCATTTTTAGTCATGCAGATGCCACAGTTCTTTGAGCCAGCTGGTCTTGCCTGGGGTACAGAGATCTGCTCCAGCTTTGTTGAGTGGTTCTATATGACATCATATTCTGAGGAGATGGGATGGACTAAAATATGGTTTCCTACTGATCTTAGCTAAACATAAGGAGTGAGAAAACTCAAAATTGGCCTTGGTTGTAGGGTTATAAACTAAAGAAATTATTAAAGTATCACTATTTGTGAGTCTAAATAGTTTTTTTTTTCATCAACAGTATGATTCATCTAGCCTTCCAGCTCTGTTGTTTAAAGCAAGAACGATTCTAGGAGCCGAAAAACACCTGAAAACCATCAACTATCAGCTGGGGAAGCTCCTTGAGCAGGACCGAGAAGACATTAGCTGAGTCAGCCCCCTGCTGCCATCTCTTGAAACTGCACTCTTGATAACCAAACTTCCGTTCTGATAATAAGTGTGCCTACTCATCAGAATTTATTACCATTTGTCATCCAAACTAAATTACACCAGTTCAACTGTCTAACGGTTTCAGAAGCCATAGTTATAGTTCTGATTATTGTTAATAAATTTCAGTCTCTTGACATGTTAGTCATCATGAGGCATAGAGTTTTAACCTATAATAAGCTTTTTAATGATGTCAATGCAAGCATGGAATAATTTTGATTAGGAGCAGTTACTGAAGTATGTCAAAGCTAATCTTCAATAAAACTGGCTCAGGTAAAAAGCAAATTATTAGAAAATCAAGTGATACAACAGTTGCTATAAACAGGTTTAGTCATAAGCTAATATAATTTGATTTTTTTAGTGTTGGGGATTAAATGCAGGGCCTTCTACCCTTGAGCTATAGCCCCGCCCTAATTTAACACTTATGTCATCAACTCTCAGGCTTCAGGCAAACTGTACCCTCGTTAGGTAAGTTCTATGCATAGTTAGCTACTCTGTAATGCTTCTACAATTAGTTCATCGGGAATATCGTCCATCGCACTCTTGTAACCCAGAAGACTCTTGTCTGCAGCATCAGCAAATTCAACATCTTCTGTAGCTTCCAGGAAGCAGACATCATCTTTGTCATCCCAGTCAGCATCAGAAAACTGGCCGGGTGACAGGTTACTGGATGGTGGGTTTTGAGAATTCTTGGTCAGTGAGTTGCTGGTTTCATCTGCTTCATCAGAAGTGAACTCCTCCTTTATTTTGGTGGAAAAGGGAAGTAGGATAGAGGAATAAAGATTAGCAGAATATGTGACTTCACTACACACTCCAAATATGTTGAGTTAAGGTATGAAGTAATAACCAGTTTTTCAAAGTCAAATGGCATGCTAGATTCCTGTTGTCAAGAACCGTCCCCATGGGGCAGGTAAGTTAGCTCAAACATGGTTGCTTTTGTAGTGTAGACATACTTGAAACGCCAGGCTGAAACTGCCTGTAGTTCATGGCAGATGCATTTCAATATCCCCAGAAGGGGTACAGCAAAGGTAGATGTAAATTCCTAATGGGAAGATAGGCTAGCTGGAGACAAGCTGGAAAATACATTTCCTTTCTTCCTCCCCCCCCCTTTCTTTCTTTCTTTCTTTTCTTCCTTCCTTCTCTTTTCTTTCTTTCTTTCTTTTTCTTTCTTTCTTCCTTTCTTTTTTCCTTTCCCTTCCCTTCCCTTCCCTTTCCCTTTCCCTTTCCCTTCCTTTCCCTTTCTCTTTCTCCCTTTCCCTTTCTCCCTTTCTCTTTCCCTTTCCTTTCCTTTTTGAGACAGGGTTTCTCTCTGTATAACAGTCCTGGCTGGTTGGAACTCACTCTGTAGACCAGGCTGGCCTCGAACTCAGAGATCTGCCTGCCTCTGCCTCTGCTGGGATTAAAGGCATGTGCCACCACCGCCTGGTGAAAATACATTTCTAAGTTAACAAAAATCATTCCCTAGAATCTATGTAAAAAAATGTAATCCCAGTGCTAGAGAGGTAGAGAGAGATGGATCCTTGGAGCTTGGTGGCCATCCATCCAAACCTCCTGAGTGAATACCAACCCAGTCAGAAGCTGTCTCAAAACAGGACAAAACAAAAAGGCTCCTGAGGGAAAGAATCAAAATTGTCCCTCTGGCCTGTATGTGTGTGTTCATGTATGTGCATGAGCACACACAAATGCACATCTATATATACATGTGTATAAAGATGTATATATATAAAGATGAGGGGTAAATGGCAATGTTAACTGTTCACTTGAAAGACATTTCTAGAGTTATTTTTAAATAATAAACATTTAAGTTATGCTCAAATAATGGTAATATTGTACACCAAGAATACTTTCATTTGGCATTTTGGGGGTATTAGAAAAGAAAAAAATGCCACCAAAACCAGTCACCAAAATAAATGAGTGACTGGGAATGTAGCCCGGGGGAGAGCACTTGCTTCCCATGGATGAGGCTGCAGGTTCACTTCCAGCACTGCAAAAGAAATGAAACCACTCAAAACCAAACAAGATGATACATTGCCCTTTCAGAAGATAGTTTAGGATTTTAACCTGTTCCTAGTTATTTCTAGCACTTGTAAACCTAGCAGTCTGCGGGAGAGGGTCTGCCTGTCAGTTCTTTATGGCCAGCTCACGGCATTTTCCCTTTAAACCTGGATGCTGGGTCTGCAGAGATGGCTCAGTGGTTAAGAGGCTGCCTTTCCAGAGGACCCGGGTTCAGTCCCCACCACACACATGGTGCCTCACAACCACCTGTAACTAGAGTTCCAGCGAACTTGCTTTCTTCTGCTTCTTTGGGTACCAAGCACACATGTGGTGCATAGACATACAGGCAATCAAAACACTCATATACATAAAATAAATGTTTTCAGAAGAGATTTTAAACGTAGGTTTCAAAGGATGCCAGTTTTTTAGGATATAAATATAAGTACTTGTTCAGCTTGTAGCAGGTCATTTATTTTAACCAGGGCAATCTGAAAGAAGGTGTTGATAGATGTGGGTGAAAATAAAAATTTAAAAAATTGTAAATAATACATGACAAAAATATTAAGATGTCATAGGAAAATGGACACACATTCCTAAGAGGAACAGAAGAACCTAAAAAGAACACAGCTTCATTAATAAGTACAAATGGAAAGTGACCTGGCACCTGTCTCCAGGCTGGTGATGACTGGACTCTCAGCAGTGCTGGCTAACTTAGCAGCAGGTGCTTTCATCAACATCTGTTCAACATCTGTACAGTCTCAATTCCTAGGATTTCTTTTTTTTGTTGTTAAGACTTTTTTGTTTGTTTTTTCGAGACAGGGTTTCTCTGTGTAGCTTTGCGCCTTTCCTGGATCTCGCTCTGTAGACCAGGCTGACCTCGAACTCACAAAGATCCGCCTGCCTCTGCCTCCCAAGTGCTGGGATTAAAGGCGTGTGCCACCACCTCCCGGCTAATTCCTAGGATTTCATGGAGCAATTTGGCAATAGCTAGTAATGAAAATGTTTCTGATACTTCAGAGAAGAAACCTATCCATGCATTACAACTTTGGAAATAAAGTGAGCACACACAAGTGTAAACAATGGAAGATTTATGCTAAAACCTTTGCATCAGTTTGGCCAAATTATGTGTGAAGGTTTTTACCTTTTTGCTTTTTTTTTTAAATTTTTTTTTTAAATATTTGTGTGTGTGCCAAATGCATGCAGGAGCTTGTGGAGGTCAGAAGAGGGCACTGGATCCCATGGAACTGGACTTGTGAGTCACCATGTGGGTGCTAAGAACTGAACCCGGTTATTCTACAAGAGCAGTAAGTGCTCTTCAACATGAACCATCCAGTCCAACCCACCTTTGCTTTTTATGTTTTTTCTTTCTAACACTAAATAAATCATTTGAATTAAACATTGGTTTGGCAAGCTAATATAATAAACAAAACCAAAATGTGTATTCCCTTTGACACAGTTCTACAGATAGAAATCCAACTTACAGATACTGTTGGTCAAACAGACACTAAGACAAGCACCTTGGTTTATTCTATAAAGCAAATGTTAGAAACTTCTTATATGCCTGGACTAAATTGATTACTCACTTTATTACCTAGCGGTCCATCTTATGAGAGGCCCTAAGGTGGGAAGATGATTAACATGTCCCACAGTGAACACAAGTGCCTCACATTGGACTGGATAATGTTCATAGTTCACTTATGCTATGTACCAAAACACAAGGCCAAGAGCTACACTCACCTCTTTCAGAAGAAACAGGAGACTTACTTCAGTGGGTAATGGGAAACCTGAATCAAAAAGATGGAATATTTTTAGGTGGATGTCTAATTTTCACTTTATGAAATGAATATAAAATTCACTATAAAAATTAATAACTCACAGTTAGATTTGAAGTTTTGTGCTTTACATACAGGGTCATGGCATTTTTGATACCAAACTTCATTTTTCAGGTCAACCAGAATCCTTTATGTATAAAGAAAAGAAAGCATTAATATCCATACTGTATAGAAAATAAAGTTCAGATATATGCCATTTGCCAGAGATGTGCCTATGACTTAAAAGATGGAGAAAGCTTAAAAAGCTAAAGGATGAAAATAAACATGTCTAATCAAAAGAAAACCGGGTGCTAAGAAAACACAGGGGCTAGCTGAGAAGGACCCATGAGGAAGTGCTTATGCCCAAGGCTCTGAGTTCCACCCTCGGAACCCACATGAAAACAAACCAGGAGGAGGCTAGGGAGTTGGCTCAGTGGGGAAGACCTGAGTCCAGATCCCAAGAACCCACATAAAAACTGGAGGCACATCTGTAACCCTTGTGGGGATGGGGAACCTGGGAAGAGGGAATGCAGGAAGATCCTGGGAGCTTGCCAGCCAGCCAGCCTAGCCCAAATGGCGAGCTCCAGGTTGAGCAAGGTATTCTATCTCAAAAAACAAGATGGAAGGCGTAGAGGAAGACACCTGATGATAATCTGTAGTCTGCACATATATATGCATGGATGAGGGCACCTGCACACATAAACACAGAAAACACACAATACACACGCATGCATTTTTTAAAAGGCCACAAGTGGTGGCCCACTTGTGATCCCAGTGGTGGATGTGGAGACAAGCAGATCTTCGGGACTCACTGACCAGCCAGACTTGTCTAATTGGTGAGCTCTAGGCCAGTGAGAGACCCTCTTAAAAACTTTTGTCTTCTGACTTCCACACATGTGCACTTACCTGCATGTGCACATATCAATATATACACTACACAAATGGACTTCTGAACAGGAAAAAAAAAAAAAGCAGGACATTTCTCTAGGAAGATCCAGAAGTTTCCAAGTTATAGCCACCAAAATAATATAGCTTCAAAATACACAAGCAAGAGTGGACAACATGCCAGGTGTGGTGGCACACACCTTTAATCCCAGCACTCAGAGGCAGAGGCAGGGGGATCTCTGTGAGTTCAAGGCCAGCCTGGTCTACAAAGCAAGTTCCAGGACAGCCAGGGCTGTTACACAGAGAAACCCTGCCTTGAAAAACCAACCAAACAAGAGTGACCAGCACTGTGAGGATGACATATCTCTTCACAGAGGTCAGCACAGACAGGGAGTGTGGAGTGTTCAGTCACAAACAGGAAGTCTGTATCTCATTTCCTATCCAAGGCTCAGGGACTGTTTAGAAGAGGGGGTGGAAACACTAAGAGCTGGAGGTCAGGAAGACTGCTGCAAAACATTGTCTTCTGGACATGAAGGACCATTACTCTTGTGAATGCACAGCAGCTGTGGTTGCCTGCACGAAACTTGCACAAGATCAGCTAGTCAATAGTCAATCATGGAGTCGGCACCCCTAGATGAGGGATGCGGACAGTTGATGGCTTCTGGAGGAGGGAAGAGTCAGTTTTCTTTAAGGGTGTAGCTCTTGGTAGGTCAACTACACTCCAGCAGATGACCCCAAACTCAGAAACATATGGGAAGGCGGGAAGGTGGGGGTTGATCTGGAAGGATTTTGGAAAGGAATTAGTATGAATATGATTGATTATAATACATTGTGTAAGGATGGGTGCACATATGCACTGAACGAGACTGAGGCAGCATGCTCAGGGCCTGACCGGTTCTGCACCAGATGGGATCCTAGAGCTGAAAGAAGTGGACATGTGCTCCCATCCCTAACCCAGAAGCTATCACCAATTGATGACCACTCACAAATGAAAATTTACTTTTCTCCAAGGAAGTTTCAAAGAGGAAACAAAGCACTCTTAAGATAGGCTGCATGCCCAGCAGTAGATGGTCAATAGAAAATGAACTCAACAGCGTCTTTGGAGGTTCCTTGTCTCATAATGTCATGTCAGGGCTTTTCCTCCTTTTTTAAATTTTTTTCTTATCTTTTATTTTTGTTTTATTTATATATTTTTCTCTCTTTTTATCCTAAGTGGCATTTTGAAAGATGGACCCCAAAGGGAGTGACACTATTAGAAGGTGTGGTTTGTTGGAGGAAGTGTGTCACTGGGATGGGCTTTGAGGTCTCTTTTGCTCAAGCTTTCCTCAGTGTGACAATCAGTTGACTTCCTGTTGCCTGCACGAAGTAGCACTCTCAGCTCCAATACTACGTCTGCCTGCACGCCACCATACTCACCATCATGATGATAATGGACTGAACCTCTGAAACTGTAAGTGAGTCACCCCAATTAAATGCTTTCTTTATACGAGTTGCCATGGTCAGGGTGTCTCTTCACAGCAATAAAATCCTAACTAAGACACCCTACATGTATATTTTTTCCATATGGCTTCTAGTTTAGTGTTTTTATGGGATTTCTGAGTGTGCAAATGGGTCTCTGCATCTACATCTGTTTCCTGTGCCTTTTCTTGTCCTCTCTTCCTTCTGTTAGTTGGTTTTGTCCTATTCCGATGTGTTTTTGTTTTATCTTATTTTATTTTATTATTATCCCTTACCTATTTGTTTTTCTAATGAGAGACAGAAAGGGGTCAATCCAGAAGAGAGGGAGATGGGGATAAACTGGGAGGAGCAAAGGGAGGAAAAACCATAATCAGGATATATTAAGGGAGGGGGGAAAAACCTATTTTCAATAAAAGGAAAAAAAGAAAAATACACTTTTTTTTTTTTTTTTTTTTGAGACAGGGTTTCTCTGTAGCTTTGATGCCTGTCCTGGAACTCACTCTGTAGCCCAGGCTGGCCTCGAACTCACAGAGATCCGCCTGCCTCTGCCTCCCAAGTGCTGGGATTAAAGGCATGTGCCACCACTGCCCAGCATACACATTTATTTGTAAAAAGAAAAAATAAACATTGTATGAACTTCTCAAATTCTTTGATAAGGATTTGATAAAACATTGTCTTCTCTTAGAAATCGACAGAAAATTAACCACCAAAGTATCAGTAGAGATGCAGAAAATATGAACAGAACAATATCAGTGCAGCTCACAAACTCTGTCTAATAGGCACAGATGAAGAGGCTCTTTGAAATCACGTGCAAACCACTAATGAAGACTGACTCCATGCTAGCTGTACTCGGAGCATCCTCAAATGTAAAAGGACTGGTCTGAGGGCTGCAGAGATGACTTAGTATTAGCGAGGGCTCACTGCTCAGGCAGAGGACCCAGTTCAGTCTGAAGCGCCCACATCAGCTGGCTCACAACTTCCTGTGACTCCAGTTTCAGAGGATCCTTTACCCTCTAAGGGCACTTGCATGCCCATGATGCACATAAATTCACACAGAAATAAACACAGAAATAAAAATAAATAAATCTTTAAAAAAAGAAGTAGATGCATTAGTTTGGGCTGGAGAGATGGCTCAGCAGTGCAGAGCACGTGCAGCTCTTGCAGAGGACCCAGGTTTGGTGCCAACACCACATGACAGCTCACAACTGTCCGTAACTCCAGTTCCAGGGAGGCCGATGCCTTCTGGACTCCACAGGCACCAGGCACATATGTGGTACACACATACTTAGCAGGCAAACACTCAAAGTAAAAATGACTAAATCTTCAAATGACTTGGTTTATATATAACACATTCTCTAACCACAAGGCCAATTTTGCAAATAAAAAGGTGGCTAGTAGAAACCCATAATTTAAAAATAAAAACGTGTCTAAATAACCAATAGCTTCAGTGGATATAATGGAAATTTAAAATGTGTGGGCCTGAGTGTAACCAAAAATACTACATTATTATGTGAAAAGCAGCTAAAGTGATCTTTACAGGGAAATTTATAGTTTTTATACCTTATGTTACAAAAGAAAAATGACTAATGACACCCTGGAAAATGAACAATAAAATACAAGAAATAGTAAAAGGAAAACCTAAAAAAAATTCAAAGATTAATTAAATTATTGCAAAATTGGTAAGGCAGATACAAATACTATTAGGCAGTAAATGCAACACATACTAAAACTAAGATTATGAATGTTTCCCAGCAGCTTTGGCAACTTGGGTAAGATAGACAAATCTTAAAAAAAAAAAAAAACGTAGATGCATTAGTTTGGGCTGGAGGACGGCTGCGCAGTTCAGAGTATGTGCAGCTCCTGCTGCCAACACCACACGACAGCTCACAACTGTCCGTAACTCCAGTTCCAGGGAGGCCGATGCCTCCACAGGCACCAGTGAAATATGCCAAACTAAGCAGACTTCAAAATCAGGAGGAAACTCGACAGTCTTAACTAATGAAAATAAAACCTGAAGCATTTTTTTACATAGTGTTAAATCTCCCCACAGGGAACTGAACCTGGGTCCTCTGCAAGAGCAGCCAGTGCTAAGTATATAGTTTTTACACCTTATACAGGACATACATTTACACATTGTAAAAATGATTTTATATTGTCAACATTGTTTTTTAAATTATAAGTATTTTAAATATATGTTAAAGGCACACAAACCATTAATAAACAATATTACTTCCATAATATTATTACTTTTGTGGGCTACACATTATAAAAATGATTTTATATTGTCAACATTGTTTCTAAAATTATAAGTATTTTCAATATATGTTAAAGGCACACAAGCCATTAATAAACAACATTACTTCCATAATATTATTACTTTTGTGGGCTATACATTATAAAAATGATTTTATATTGTCAACATTGTTTCTAAAATTATAAGTATTTTCAATATATGTTAAAGGCGCACAAGCCATTAATAAACAACATTACTTACATAATATTATTACTTTTGTGAGCTCTTCCAATGTTTTCACACCAGCGGTATTTGCAAATATCATAAACGAGTAATTCTTCTGGGAAAAAGTAGCTCCAACGCCGAATTCCTGAAATGCAAAGGTTGCTGCTCAAGGAACTATCTCTCTGTCGTGTAAGAATTACTAAAAAGTAAGCCAAGCTTTACCTCCTTTGACGTCGTGTTTATTCACCAAAGAAAGAACAAACTGGTCAACTTCAGGATACGGGGAGCACTGAAAACCTTCAATGGACTCGACTGCAACAGAGAGAAGTATGTACAAACGAGAACAGTTAAATGCTGAAAAAATACTGATCAAACTATGATCTCATGCAGTTAAGGGTCTTTCCACCCTCATCTGCAGCTGCCTTACTCTCAGTTCTTGGGCTCTTGCTGTGCCAGAAGGAGGCAGTTAAGACTGAAACTTCAACGAGGTCAAATGCTGCCTAGTTTTTCTAAAAAGACAAAGAGGAAAGGTAGACCCTCAGCCCAGAAGTGGAGAGGAAGGGTGGACCCTCAGCCCAGAAGTGGAGAGGAAGGGTAGACCCTCAGCCCAGAAGTGGAGAGGAAGGATGGACCCTCAGCCCAGAAGTGGAGAGGAAGGGTAGACCCTCAGCCCAGAAGTGGAGAGGAAAGGTAGACCCTCAGCCCAGAAGTGGAGAGGAAGGGTGGACCCTCAGCCCAGAAGTGGCACCACAGGTCTCCTGGCTGAGCCTGGGTGTTGCCTCCAGCTGGCCTGACTCCTACTTCAGCCTTGATGTTTTGCTGTTAAACACAAATGGTGCCACAGGACTTCAGTACATAGATACTGAGGCCATTCTGAGGTCACAAGGATTCAAGACAAAAATAGACCTCTCTGCCGTCTTGTCTGAGCAGGGAGAAAGCGTGAACACCCGAACTACAAAAATGCCCAGACACTACTATCCTGACTACCACAAGCAGCTGTTCTGCTTTACCAAGTATAGTGGTGTAAGTCTCCCTCCAAGATGCCTCCTCCTAGGAAAGATTTCAACACCTTACGAGATACACCAAGGACTTCCATCACCTCAGGGAATAGGAAATCATGAACTCAATTTGTGTTTCCTGGGTCTCTCACTGGAGGGCACTAACAACTTTATTTTATATCTAAGAATCTACTGTCATAATTTAGGATGATCTGTTCACAAATTCATTTAGGGTTTTTTTGGTTGTTCTGTTTTGGTTTTTCATTTTTTTCGAGACAGGGTTTCTCTGTGTAGCTTTGGAGCCTATCCTGAATCTCACTTTGTAGACCAGACTGGACTCACAGAGATTCTCCTGCCTCTGCCTCCCGAGTGCTGGGATTAAAGGCGTGTGCCACCACCGCCCGGCTCATTTAGGTTTTAATGACAGGAAAATCTAGTTTTCTTAAAATGAAGTTGTAATTTCACTTAAAATAGTTAAATATATAACTGGAGACATTTTGGGAAATATTTCAGTGTAGAAATGAGAAAAAACTCCCAGACAATGTCTAGAAATATATCTTAAACAATCAGAAGAAATAAATACAGGAAATATTGCCCATGTTTTTTAACAGGCTTGTAATCATATAATGTGTGTGTGTGTCTGTGTGTGTATATGTGTGTGTGTATGTGTTGTGTTGTTGTTGTTGTTGTGGCAACAGGGGACCTATTGAACCCAGGGCAAGCGCTCGATACTCGTAATTTTAGAGCCTACTTTTTCTCTTACCATCATCCTCAGTGGGCGTCTTCCACATTATACAGGCCTTACAAATCTAAACTTTGTGGTTATGGAGTATGTCATCCAATTCTGTTGTATACTTAGGTTGGAGTTTTTCACTATTCTGATGATATACCAACATATGTGAATAAAAGTATTTATTGGAGGCTTTATATAAGAAACTTTAGAAACTTTAAAAAACCCTATATGTTCTTCCGTACAGGAATGGGCAAAATACGACAAAGTCATCCGTGGAACACTTTTGCAGGAGTGCAGAGTCAAACAGGAAACTACGGTAGTAGTTACCCGTAATTTTAAAAAATACACTCATTTAGTGTGTGTGTGTGTGTGTGTGTGTGTGTGTGTGTGTGTGTGTGTGCATCACAGACTGAGTGTGGAGGACACAGCCTAAGTTGTGGGAGTCAGTTCTTGACTTTCACGTGGGACGTGGGTCCCGGACTGAATTTGGGTTGTGAGACTTGGTGGCAAACGCTTTTAGCTGCTGAGCCCTCTCCGCAGTCCACCTGTCTGTGTGTGGACAGAGGGGAGGGCGGGGCGGAGAGACGGCTCGGGGGTTCCTCCAGCCTCCACAGGCCTCAGACCTGCACACGGTTTGCACAGACAAACGTGCAGGCAAAACATCCACCATGAAAACACTTCTTAAAAAAATGGGGTGACAGATTATGTGGTCAAATCTTGATGTGCTTGTTCTATATCAAGTGCATTATTTATATAGTCTCTAAATACCACAGAATAAAAATCAGGTCTTTTAACTAATAAACACCCATGAAATTTTTTATAGTATGTCCAACCTGGTTAGGAATCCAGAAGAACTAGTTTTAAAGTGATCAGCGGATATGGGTACTTAAAATGTAAGATTTTCAAAGCAAAACAGATTTGAGGTCCCTAAACTGGAACGTGAAATTGTTTACAGTTACCTGACGTGCCGGTGCTGTTAAAATACTCAGCCCGCTTTCTTTTAGGCTGAGGCGTGTCACATGTGAGAATCCGTAACGTGTCTGAGAACCTAAAGAGAACGTGTGAAAGAAATAAAGTAACATCGCGTTAGAATTATCGTAAGATGACCAGAGAGAGGAAGCAGTCCCACGTGCCTTCACTGTTACCGCCCAAGGTGCCAGTCTTACCTCATCATGTAAGATTACGCCAATTAGAAATAGTTCCTGGGGGCTGCAGAGATGGTTAAGAGCACTGGCTGCTCTTCCAGGGGACCAGGGTTCGACTCCCAGCACCCACATGATAGCTCACACCTGTGTGTAACTCCAGAAGCAGGGCTTCTGACACCCTCACACAGACATGCATGCAGGTAAAACACCAATGCACATAAAATGCAACAGAAAAAGAGACAAACAAACAAAGAAACCCTTTCCTTTAAACAGTCATTTGGGGAGTGTTTAAAATAATTTCTTTACAGAGTAATCCAAGGCTTCTAGGGAACTGAAATGATCGAAAGCATAGTTCTACTCCCCAACACACAGACCTTTGAACTTTCTGTTAGGATTTGGAAGCTATGAATATGGAAGAAAAGGGTAATGAGAGCACGTGTGTGTGTGTGTGTGTGTGTGTGTGTGTGTGTGTGTGTGTGTGTGTGTGACCAAAATTCACACTAACCACGGAGAACTTGGCCTTCCTTCCACTCCAGAAGAGAAATGCCTAGCCTTCCCGTGGCTGTGCAAAGCACGGGCTAGGGGTCCTAGGAGGGGCACCTCTCGCTGTGAGGCCGCACTGCAACTACCCAGGAGTCAGACCTGCACTGCTGCACCACGTCCACAAGTGCAGACACTGCCCCCAACGCATGCGGCCACTGTTGCGGCAGGTTATGTGAATGTTCCATATTTAATTCAACAACGGGAAGGGAGGCCATTATTCCCACTTTAAAAGTCTTTGGTCTGTGGTGGTGCACGCCTTTAATCCCAGCACCCGGGAGGCAGAAGCAGATGGATCTGAGTTCAAGGCCACCCTGGTCTACAGAGTGGGTTCCAGGACAGTCAGGGCTACAAGTCTTTGATCTTACTTTTGAGAAGTATCAAAGGAACCCAAACAAAATAGAGATATGTGGTGAGAGGGAATGTATCTTCCCACTACACATAACTTTTCCTAGAGAAACATCCTTAAATATTTATTCCTTTTTTGTTTGTTTGTTTGTTGACAGGTTTCTCGCTGTAGCCCGGGCTGTCCTGGAATTTGCTCTGTAGACCAGGCTGTCCTTGAACTCAGAGATCTGCCTGCCTCTGTCTCCTGAGTACTGGAATTAAAGTCACGTGCCACCTACACCCAACTTAATATTTATTCTTAAAATTAATTTCTACAGAATTTTTTTCTTAAAAAGTTTTGGGGAGATACAGAGGCAGGTGGATTTCTGTGAATTTGAGGCCATCTTGGTTTATATAGTGAATTCCAGGCCCACCAGATTATACAGTGAGTCTCTGTCTTAAAAAACAAAAAACCCCCAAAGCAAAACCTTTTGAGGAAGGTAAAGGGCAAAAACAACACAGTAAGTTGATGTGGTTTAGTCTAGTTGTTAACTACTTTTGTTTGTTTTAGGGCTTTGCTTGTGTTTGCTGGTTTGGGGGGCAGGGTGATGATGAAGGGTTAACACATGGCTTCATGTAGTCTGGCTGGCCTTGAACTCATGGCTTCATGTAGTCTGGCTGGCCTTGAACTCATGGCTTCATGTAGTCTGGCTGGCCTTGAACTCATGGCTTCATGTAATCTGGCTGGCCTTGAACTCACTATGTAACCAATGGTGATCCTGAGCTCTTTGTCCTTACATGTCCACTCCCTGGGAGCGAGGATTACAGACAGGTCTGGGTACTAGCCACATTCTGAGCTGACCAAACTGCCACTCCAGTAAAAGTGGAATGGGTGACCAATACATAGAAACCTAATGTGTAACAACAGACCTGACAATAAGGCATGCCATTGGAGGACGGGAGCTCATAGCATTAAAAGTTTTACTTATGATTGCTGGCAAACTATTAACTTGGCAAATATTTGTGATAGGATGGTGATTAGAAAAAAAATCACGTGACATAACCATATGAGCAATGATCCCAGTCAAAACACATTTTCTGGGGCTTGGTGCAGTGGATCAAATACAGGGCCTTGAGTACTCCAGGCAAGCGCTATAACCATGAGCTAGCTATACCCAAGGCAAGAAAGGTTTTGATTAGGGAGCTCTGTAAGTTCTAAATGTATATGTGTGTATGTGGAAAGAAATTGAGACAGTGGTAATCATACTGTCAAACACAATGCAAATATCATTATTTTCTACTTTATAAAGTGATAATTTTAGACTAACTGGAATTTTAGAATACATTAAATATAATCATAAAAAAGATATAAAGAGGAAGTTGAATTGTTAGAAACATTTCTTGCTATTATTTTTCAGATATAGGGATACGAGACTTTTAAAAACAAACTTTCTTTTTCTGAAGGCAGAATCCATTTACACGATTCACGTTTTAGCAATCTGCAGTGCTGTTTACATGAACACATGATGGTTAACTCTGCTCTACAGACCTGACATTGCTCACCAGGGATGACAGGAAATACTGGTTTTCCTCAGAAATGTCCTTCGACTGTTCTGGAATAAATCTATTATCTTCAGCAACCTCCAAAGCCACACATTTTCCTATCTTGGATGATTGATACAGTCGAAAGTTTCTGTTTCTTGTATAAACTCCTACATCAAAAATTAATTTTAAAAATGAATCCATGTTTCCATGATTAGTTTTGTGGTCAGTAAATATTATGTTTCTGCAGAATTTCTAGAAAAGACGATTCTTTCTCATATACAAAATTAAAGCAATATACAAATTAAGATAAGCTGATTTAAGATGAGAGAAGGCCCCAGGCAGAGAGCTAACCAAATGATTCTGGAACAGCAGCTCTTCAAAGGAGAGCCAACAGGAGAACGGGACAAAGTGCCAGGAATAACATTTGTGACTGACAGCCGCCCCAGAGCTGGGGCAGAACACCCCAGAGAAAGGGAGACACCAAAATCTAAAAACAAACAACAGAGTATCTATAACAAATCTAACAAAAGGTGTGTACGATTTCTATGCAGACAATTATAAAACATGGCAAGAAATGAGGAAACACTAAAGAAACGGGGGACCCTATCATGTATCAGTACTAGCCCAAGAAATGAAAGCCAGAATGAACAACAGAACAGACCACAGTCTGAAATAGGTGCAGACTCTGGATTGATGGCAAATGGTCCTGCTGAGCAGTGGGGAATGATAGCCATTTCCAACAAATGGTGCTGAGGTAATGGGGTACCACAAAGTAAAAGATGAATCTTGACGTTTTCACTCAACAAGCGAAAACCCATTCCAAAGGGATTACAGAACCTAAGCATAGCCCAAGCAGGCACCGGCTTGCCTTTTACAAAGGACTCAGGCCGCTGATGGTGCTGATGTTACTTACCTAAATCTACAAAAAGACACTTTTCCCCCATGTTATTCTTCACAACTAAAAACGAAAGATCAGGGCTGTGCTGCTCCCAGGCCTCTGAAATCTCTTGTTTTAGTGGTACATCTGAAAAACAGGAAGCTTCATGGCCCGCTGCCTCTGGAATCTTATCTTCATCTTCCTTGGTAATTAAGTGAAGAGCAGGTTGCAAAATTCTTCTCACAAAATTACCTAAGAAGAAAAAGTTGTAAGACTCCAATCTGATCTTATTTTCTCTAGACTGTAACTTATGTCTAGATGCATATCTACAAACAACAGTTTTATGCACTGAAGCTTCTCCCAAGTGATTGCTATAAACTGCAGTCCGTCTCCTCTGCCACCTCCTTCCACTTGTGTGATGTTTTATGTTTTCGGCGCCCACTGGCCCGGGAGGGCGTCAGCTGTAAACACATCATTGACATGTTGCCAGTAGCGACCAGAGCCTAACGTGCCGCCAGCAGGAATGTCCACTTTGGCTACTCCACATGGAGCGGAATGACTGAAGGACTAGGACACCAACGCAGAGACAGGGACAGCACACAGAGGGTCTGCCACATGCCCCCGGAGATGGCAGCTTGGCCAAGTCTCATGGGTTCGTCCTCTCCCATTCAGCTGCCACCCATGCCCCAAGAACCCTCACGTCGAGAGTCCCAAGGCTGTTTCCAACCACACATCTCCCTCAAACATCTGGAATTAATTCACAGATTTTGTATTTCATCTCCCTAAGACTGGAATCCATGAATCCTGCACTCTGGAAAATCGGTGAGACAACTGAACTTCTTCAAATTCACACGGACTGTTTACACCACATAACCAAGCATTAACTCAGCTATTACGCTGTTGTGTATATAAAACTGCATACACAAAATAATGCAAGAAAACCTCCTCTAGACTGTAAATCGGGGCTTAACTACTTTAAATATGAAAGAAGCTTGAAACTACATGTCATAATACACACATGCTTTACACTCAAAATCTTCTTTCTCTAAACAAGACTTTCCGATGCCAAGAAACAAATACAAGTTGTTTTGCTTTTTTGAGGCAGGGTCTTGCTAAGCAGCCCCAAGATGCCCTTGAACTTGGGATCATCCTGCCTTGGCCTCCTTCATTCTAGGACTACAGGCCTGTGTCACCATGACTGATACACGTTTAGCATCTTAAAAGAAATTAGAACTGGATATGGAGGCACATGCATGCTACCCCAGCTCGTAGGAACCAGTCAGGAGCCAGTTTGAGGCCAGCAAGGGCTACATAGCAAGACTGTCTCAAACAAACAAAACGGGGGAGCTGGAGACACGGCTCAGCAGTGGAGAGTGCTTCCTGCTCTTCCAGAGGACCAGAACTCAGTTCTCAGCGCCCTTGTCAGGCAGCTCACAACTGGTACAACTCCAGCTTCTGGGGATCTGACACCTTCCTCCAGCCTCCCAGGCACCTGCACTCGTGTGGCACAGGTACACACACACACACACACACACACACACTAAACACAAATAAGTACATAAATAGGGTAGCATTAGAACATTAAAAGGAAAGCAAAGGCTTAAAAGACACAAGATGAAAAAATAACAGAGGTGTGATTATTTCCAGAAGGAAAAAGAGCAGGTAACACGGGTTAACAAGATACAGTGTATCGAAGGACTAGGAAACAATATAAACATAAATCGATGGAGCTGACTTTCCTGGAAACTTCAGATTCCATCTGCCTAGCCCCGATAATAAGAGCAGTGAGAAGTGGACCGCCAAAATGGTCTCACGGGCAGTACTGAGGCAGCCGGGCCTTTGACCCTGGGCGGGAAGCTAACATGGCAGGAGGAGATGGCAGGCAGCCAGCCTGAGTGTTAGCACTCTGGCTGCCGGAGCCCAGCCTGCTGTGTCCCTCTCTTCTCTCATCTGTGGTGGAAGCGCCCAGTACAGATGAAGTTCTCTAATCGCTTCCATTTGACCCAGTTCCCCTTTCTGCAAGGCTGGTAACAGGAACTTGAAGTCTCACAAAGAGGAACACCACGAAAGGGGAAAGAAGGGGGAAAGGTGGACTAACTTGTACTGCACTGGATTGCATTCTGGCTGGAGAGACTGCCTGGGATGATAGCCTGTTTGCCAAGTCTGACTGCTCTCGCTGTGGCTACGCTCTGTGAGAGCAAAGGCTTTCTTACTCTCGTCTGTACGATGAAATTCTACCCCCAAACTCAGACATAACATGATCTGCTTTCAGAAGCTATCTGCCGCAGAGGCTGCTGGGTACTAGCAACTACCCATTGTCCTCTAGCTAGACAGACTCTCAACATGCAGCCTTCCGTCAGCAGTCACAGGGCAGACTGTGAGGAGTGAGCCTGAAGAAAGAGTTCCTCAGGACTGTTGTCAGACTCTGCTTATCATCCGTGCACTCACTCAGCAAACAGCTGTCAAATGCCCACTTCCATTTGTTATTGCTGTAAGTATTCGAAATATTATTAATAACAATATTAATACATGCTGAACAATGAAAACGGGAAATAAACAACAGTTCCTGCCACTAAGAAACAGTAAGCAGAACTGGGAGGTGGCTCCATGTGTAAAGTACTTGCAGCATTAGCCTGAGGCCCTGAGTTCAGGTTCCCAGAAACTACAGAAAACATAGGAAAGGGCAAGCATGGCTGTGCCATCTGTAACTTTGGTGCTGGGGAGCAGAAACAGGCAGAGAGATCCTGGGGGCCTGCTGGCCAGCCAGCCTAGCTGAAACGGCAATCTTCAGGGTCCTATCATAGAGCAATAATGTGGGAAAGTAACCGAGGAAGACATCCTCATGCTACCTCTGGCCTCTACATGTGCCCACGAGGGTGAGTGCACCTGCACACACACGTGGACATGCTTACAACATACCCACACATGTGTGCACACTACACAGAATGGAGATAAGAAAACAGGAAACCACCCTAGGAAGTGGTGGGAAATGCTTTCACGTAGTAACACTGGATGCTGCAACCCGGAACACTGGCCTTTCAAATCTTAGAGTTGGCCCGACAGAACAGCTCCTCAGATGGTCTCAGATGTTCATATCTTGATTGACCATCCGAACTGGAGTTCAGAGCAGCAACAAAGAGTATGAAGGCCCACGCACTAGGGTAATGTGCTGGGGTGGGAACTAAGTTACGGATGGAGTGGAGAGAGGAGGTCAGGGTACAGTGAATCTCACTGCGCAAGTGGGTGCAGTTTTCCCCGAGGGCAAAGAATGACCCCTGAAGAGTCTGAGGTGCACGGTGCTATCATCACACCACTCTAGCTAGCTGACCAAATAATCAGGTGGAGATCTACCGAGGTTGAAGACCACACCAACATGTGCACTGGATGGGGGTGACTGACGCCACTCAATGACAGACATCACAGGAGGAGCAAGGTCTTTAGAGAGGGAGCTTGGGAAGGACATGTTGAGTGGAAATGTTGGTGGGACGCTGCTGCAGGAACCTGGTGTCTAGAACAATCTGGGCTAAATATAAAGATCCTAGTCATCTATGTGGATGATAATCATGGCCACGACAGTGGGTGATCAGGAAAGGCGCTGACAGAGTGGATAAAGGCTGACCCATCACCCAGCCTGCAATTACTGACAGCAAAGGGATGAGAGGAAGAGTCAGGCTGAGCCAACCAACACGGGAGGTGAGGAGCGAGCACTCTAGCTCGCCATGACCCAGCACTTCTCCAACCCAGCACGAGCTTTATGCCAGTCCTTCAGTGACCGTGCTCACACCTCTTATTCCAGGTGGCTGTGAAGTCACGGGACACTTGTACCCCTGAAATGGGTTGCCTATTACAAGAACGTTAGCCAGCTCCTTAAGCCTAAGGCTACTATTGCTTTGATGAACACCAGGACTTCTGGTTCTCTTTAAACTTAGATTAGGTGTTCCCACCTGGCCTATTTGCATGTTCTCTGGCTGACTTCACTTTATATTCTGGCCTTCATTTGTCCGAGGGCAAATACTCTGCTTACACCTTCAGGTGTATGCATCCCAACGTCACGGCAGCTCTAAAGTTCTTGTGGACAATAAGCCCTTCTTCATATGACCAAGGGCCCAAGCCTCCAAACTAAGGCTAATTTATGGCTGAAGCAAAGGTCAAAAATACTGATATTAGATATCACAGATAGGACCTCTCCTGACTTACCAGAAAACTGCCAAGGAATCCGTTGAAACAGAAACCAACAGTATCAGGCTATGCACACTCATCTCCGCGTGTATGGTTAGAGGTACTAATGCCGCCGATATCCTGAGTAGGTCAAACTCCCTGGACTAGAACAGCAGGTCAAGAGCTAAGGCCAATCATGAACACTCACTGCATCTTTCTAGAATAGGTAAGCAACCATAAAGGGCAGGAAGTACCTAGAAAACCTGAAGAGGAGAAGGAAAATACAAGTTTTTACTATAACTAAGATCTTTTAAAAGGTACTCACCAACATGAATGTTATCTTTAAATGCCACATCATGGAGCTGAAATATTAGATGTCGGCTAAATTTTTCTTCAGTGCTGGAATCCAAGTTGAACACATCTTCAGCTGAGCAGTGAACACTGTATAACTCCTCAAGTGCTTTACAAACATGCTAAAAATACAAGCACATGCAAATAATGTACGGTTTTGATTTTAGATTTCTCTACCAGCAATCCAAATACCTTGTTACAAATTGGATGACTGATCATCAGAACATTTGCATTAGAGCAGCCTTGCCAATTTACTTATAAGTTTAAATACATCACTTAAAATTATTAAATGTTTATGACAAAAATGTATAGGCAGGGCCAGAGCAATGGCTCAGGGGCTAAGGTGCCTACTCTCCCAGAAGTCCTGGTTTCAATTCCAGCACCCACATGGCAGCTCACAACCGTGTTCCTCCATTCTAAGAGCTCCAATATCTTCATCTGTCTTCTGGGTACCGGCATGCACTTGATACACAAACATACCTTCAGGTAAATCACCCATACACATAAAGTTCTAAAAGTAATTTTTAAAAATTTCTCTTAGGGCTGGAGAGATGGCTCAGCAGTTAAAAGCATTCACTGCTCTTTCAGAGAACCCAGGTTTGATTCACAGCACATACATATATGTTAGCTCATAATAACATGTAACCCCAGTTCCAGGAAATCCGCTTCCCTCTTCTTTTTTTTTCTTTTTTTAAAGATTTATTTATTTATTATGTATACAGCATGTATGCCAGCAGTCCAGAAGAGGGCACCAGATCTCATTTCAGATGGTTGTGAGCCACCATGTGGTTGCTGGGAATTGAACTCAGGACCTCTGGAAGAGCAGCCAGTGTTTTTAACCTCTGAGCCATCTCTCCAGCCCCGCTTCCCTCTTCTAACCCCTGTAGGTACCAGGATCACAGATAGACATGTAGGCAAAAGTACCCAAACACATTTAAAAAATAAAAATAAAAATTCATATGCTCTCAAGACTGAAGAAGACTCTTAAAGGTCAAACAATTTAATTTATACACGCATCTCCTCTAAAACTAGAGTAAAAAGCTCCTTGTTAAGTTTCTCCTAAAATACCAGCTGTCTTAGTTGGGGTTTCTGTTGCTATGATAAAACATCATGACCAAAACCACCTCGGGGAAGAGAGGGTTTATGTCTTCTTACAGCTCGTAGTGCACCATCCCAGGAAGTCAGGGCAGGAACGGGTGCAGTGGTCATGGAGAAAGGCTGCTCCGGCTTATTCCTCATCAGCCTACTTTCTTATACCTTCCAGGACCACCTGCCCACGGGTGCCAATGCCCCACAGTGAGCTGGGCCCATCTACATCAGTCATTAAAAGAAGAAAATGGCCCAGAGGTCAGTTGGAGAGGGCATCTTTTCAGTTGAGTTTTCCTCTTCCCAAATGACTCTGGCTAACGTCAGGCTGACAAAACACTAGCCAGCACAGTAGCTGAAAGTTATCATCGCTAGTTCTAGTCCTTTTATAACTTCAATTATTAGAACATTTCTCACTCCTGTTGAACCTACATCTACCTCTAAGAACACAGCCTGAAAGCGCGTGGCTTAGGAGACCAAGATTTGGAAAGTGCCAAGTTTGAGTTTGGCCCTGCCACTCACTGATCTTATTGCTATGATCAAATCTAACCCTGGCATTTCTCAGCCGTGAGAACTAGTAAATGGTAAATAGCACCTAACTTTTGGAGTATGGTAAGGAGTAATGAGAACAAGAGATTACGGAGTTAGCACAGTGCTGCACACGGGTAAGTGCTTAAGAGCATTGCCTGTGGAGCTCGAGACAAGTCATTTCTCTCTGGTCACTGTCAGTGTTCTCATCTGCAAAATGAAGAACTAACTACCATCGAGTTAGCAAAAACGTTTGCCAACCACTTACATATCTAATAGTTACACAGAAAGTTACACCCGCTGCCAATGGTTTCATATTACTAGATTCCTATTATGAATTCATAATTACTTCCTATCGGTCCCACCATCTGAGCTTACTTCCCTTTAGTAAGCTCTCACTTTCTCAGCGGTCTCCCTCAGTCTGTTCATCTATGTCAAGCATTCCTGGATATCTCTCTGAAGTACTCACATAGCTGCAGCTTCACACCAACTTATACCATTTTGGTATCTGCTCCCTCTGTATTACAGACAGGGAGCAGACCCTGGCCTACCCATTGTCTACTGACTACAATGAAGACACAGCAGTGTGAGTCAACTTGAACAATGTGCTTCAGGCAATAATTCGGGAAAAAATAACGCAGCAAGCTTAGTTTTTAATACAATACAGTCACACTAGATATTATATGAGCAATAGATAAGTTTCCATCTTCTTTAAGATGCTTTTTTGTTTGTTTTTCAAGACAGAGTTTCTCTGTGTAGCTCTGGTGACACAGAACTCCCTTTGTAGAGCAGGCTGGCCTCAAACTCAAATTGCTGCCTGCCTTTGCCTCCTGGGTACTGGAATTAAAGGCGTGCCCACCCAGCCTTGTTTAAGCTATTCTTTTCTATGGCAGCTAACTCAATCCTAATTTATTATTCTTTGTTAGATTAAGCAGTCTATAATGTCAGAAACCATGTCTCTGGCTCACCATTTCATTCCTGTAGTCCACGTACAGAGCCATACTCAGTAGATGCTGAAAAGTTTTTGGTATTTGAATAAACTTCTGTGCTTTAAAGTTACAGAGAGTAAATTTAGTGGCTCTTTAGTTTTATCAACCTTCCCTAAATTATACCTTCCCTAAATTATACTTCCCAAGTTAAACTGTAAACAGAATTATAGTTATCTCTGAAACTACACTATGAGACTTGGAGGTTAAAAAAACATGATTACTTAAGCAATCTGCATTACTGACAAAATGTATTAACACTAGAAGTCATCCTCATTGGTAGGAGTGGCTTTATTGAAATGTATCAGTTAAGTCATTGAGCCCAAAGTTGTCCACAGTTATTAAACAGTTATTTATTAACTATCTGTTCATTTAAAGATAAGAACTAATCGAATTTGATGGGTGTGGTGGTGCATACCTGTAATCCAAGCACTTAACTGGGAGATAGAGGCAGGAGGATCAGAGGTTGAGGGTTTTCTATGGCTACATAGTAAGGTGGAGGCCCCTTTGACGTATATGTGAGCTTGCTTTAGCCAGCAAGATGGCTGTGAGTAAAGGCACCTGGTGCTATGTGGGATGACCTGAGCTTGATTCCCAGGCCCTACATGGTGGAAGGCAAGAACCAGCTCCTGCAAGGTGTCCTCTCACATCCCCATGTGAACTGTGGCGCATGCATGCCGAAACACAACAAACAAGTAATGCTTACATGTAAAAAGAAAACAACAAATAGCCAACCTAATTTAAGCTCCATGAGATTCAAAACATATTTTCTAGATTATGAAGTGATTATGTGCAAATAAACTAAAATGAAATTCATTTTAATATAATTACAAACAGTTATATTTAAACAATACTAATACAAACTGCTCTATCAAATAGTAAACATGTTAAATAAAATTGTTACACAATTTTGAAGTTAGATTTCTATAATGTCCTCCACATTTTCCTGATATAGATTAGTTCTTCAATGGTTATATAGAGAAGATGTAAAGAATTAAGAGGAAAAAAAAATTCAACCCTTAGGTGATCTTTTTGTGTTTATTAAATCTGTTACATAGGAGTTTTATCCTCTGTTTATTACATTAGGGATATTTCTACTTTCCAACACATTGTAGCACTTTGTTTAATAGTAGCAATAGGTTTAAGTAGAAATGAAAGCCTCTGAATCTTAGTTCTCTGTAACCCATCTATGTAAGAAATCCTACATTAGACTGTTGAACTGTATCACATAACCAGGAAAAAGAGTCAATCCTGATGAATTATAACAAACATAAAGTCAAAAACTCAGCCAGTGGCTCACACCTGCAATCACAGCACTCCAGAGTCAAAGTGTGGAAGAGAGTCTACGTTTCAGGACAGCATACACAACACACACACAAAAACCAACCAACCACCACCAACAAAAGCCCATACACTTCACCAGCTACAATGAAACAGGGCATTTAAGTTTACTTTTGAGTGTTCAGTGGCTATAAAACAATGTTTCGTTTGGAGAATTAAGGAGGATGTTACATATGTTTATTCTGCTTCAAAGTCAGAATGTTTGCATATTTAACTTAAAGTCAATATGCAAAGATCCGATGAAATTAGCAGACCTCCTTTAGCAAAAACATTTGAATTGAGATGGACTTTCAAGTCACAAAATTATTTTTCATAAAATTATCATATGGTTAACATTCAAAAGAAAAAATGTTAAAACTTACTCTGAGGCCAAATGGTCACTGCAACTTTCACACAATTTATGCAAAACAATCTTAAGTTTTTAAAAACAGATGTCAATGTGTAAGTCCATATAATTCCTTTTTACTGATACAGCCAAATAAAAAAATAAAGATTAGCACTACACCCTTTTCTTAGATGAAAACAGACGTAACTATATGTAGTCTAGGTTTGGTCAGTTTCCATTTGTAGAATCCAAGTATGTTCTGTCTCTGAGTCTTAATTTTTTCATCCATAAAGGCGCAGATACAATTTCAAAATTCCCACCAGTTCAAAACTTCTGATACTACTTTTAGTCAAAATTTCCCTGAATTTCAAATCAATGCCCAATTTCAACAGTGAAATTTGCTTTACCTGGCTTTTGCTACAGGTAAGTATACTGGAAGTCGAAGAATTAAAACGTAGGTCAAAACAGAAAATTATCACACTGTCATTTATTTTAGCTTTTAAAATTAGATATAGTAATATTTTTTTAAAAATATAAGCATTAATTGAATTTTCATTTTGTTTTATTATTTACTCACAGAAAATGTTGTCAAAAGGAATACCAAAAAAAAAAATAAAAGTATGCGGACTATGAAACCTACGTGTGACCTAGAGTAGAGGCGGTGATTAATGGAAGTGTGTAGGAGAACTTACCTCTATGAGTAATGCAACCATCTTTTTCCCATCAGCTTCCGGATTGGCCAATTTGTTAAATTCCAAATCAAAATAAAGCTTGCACACAGCATTCTCGGGAATAACTTCGTAGCAATGCAAGAGGGTCTTTCTAAATTGAATAGTCCAAGATTACAAGATTTGTATCTTACACTGTAAATCTTTTAACTTATTATTGCTGGGGTAGGGGAGAGGGCACCAGAGGTGTGACAGCCAGAGGACAACTTACAAAAGTCATTTCTCTTCTGCCATCATAGGTTCCAAGGACTGAACTCAAGTTTACTAACTCAGCCACCTCACCAGCCCATACATCTTACACCTTTTAAACCATGGAGTTAATCCTGTACTCGAGAACAGTGATTGTTATGTTTTATGAACATGTAACTATGAATTAATAAACTGATAAAGACAATAAGCTAACAGTAAGTCTGTGGCTCACAGTATTAAAGAGTTTCTGCCGGGCGGTGGTGGCGCACGCCTTTAATCCCAGCACTCGGGAGGCAGAGGCAGGCGGATCTTTGTGAGTTCGAGGCTAGCCTGGGCTACCAAGTGAGTTCCAGGAAAGGCGCAAAGCTACACAGAGAAACCCTGTCTCGAAAAAACCAAAAAAAAAAAAAAAAAAAAAAAAAAAAGAGTTTCTGACAAAATGATGTTAACAATTGCAATCAGGAAATTATTTAACTGGCAAATAAGGAAAATCTTACAGTGCTGTTTATTCACAATGTCTTGATATGGCATCACTTCATTTTTGTTTTTGCTGTCCTTTTGAAACAAACATGATTTAAGAAAAGAATGTTCTTTCTCAAATTGGAATCCCAGAACCACACATGCAAGCACACACACACACACACACACACACACACACACACACACACACACACACAAGTCCATGTATCTTCTGTGGGAATTTTAAAATTCTATATTTTCATTAGGAAGACGCTTTTAAATGTTTTACTTTATTTATTTTTATTTCACATGCATTAGTGTTTTTCCTGCATGTATGTCTGAGGGAGGATGTCAGATTTCCTGGAACTGGAGTTACAGACAGTTATGAGCTGCCATGTAGATGCTCGGAATTGAACCCGGGTCCTCTGGAAGAGCAGTCAGTGCTCCTAAGCACTGAGCCATCTCTCCAGCCCCTTTAAAGGTTCAATGTTTTAAAAAGGAAATTCTCTCTCGAGACACCTTCATCCACCTCTTTCAGATGTGTAAATTGTTCTTTTCCATCTAAGTCTCTCCTCTGCTCCCATGTTTAAATCTTTATTGAAACCTTATCTCCATATATGTTTTGAAAATAATAGTTTTTAAGAAGTAAAAAAAAAAATCTGAATCTCGAGACTTCAATAATTATCCAATTTATGCAGGCATGGGAGGAATGACTTTGATTCGGGTAAATAAGAACAGATGCTGATTCAAAACACAAATACGTTCAGACGACACTCTATACAAATAAAGGGTCTGTAGTTAGTTTAAACAGGAAAAGCAGGGGCTGGAGAGACGGTTCCCTGATTAAGAGTGCACACTGCTCTTCCAGAGGACCAGAGTTCAGTTCCCAGCACCCATGTCAGGTACCTCACAACTACCTGAAACACCAGCTCCAGGGGATCAGACATCTTTTTCCAGCCTCCTCAGCACCTGCACACATGTGGCACTCACACATACTCAGAAACAGAAATAAAATAAAACAAATAAAATATTTTAAAAAGGGAAAGTGATGGAGTACACCATCACATGGCAGATAGTACCTGTGGGTACCACCACATACATTCTGACAGCACTCCATTTACAGTCCAAGATGAGATTTGTTTTCAATAAAACACCATCTGTCACATTGTATTGAGAACCTCTATGGTCTAGATGTGTTGGTGCACGCCTTAAGTCCCAGCATTCAGGAGTCAGGGGCAGGTGGATCTCTGAGTTTGAGGCTAGTCTGGTCTGCAGAGTGAGTACCAGGACAGCCAGGGCTACTCAGAAAAACCCTATCAAAAAATACTAAAAACAAAAACAAAAACAAAACAAGCAAGCAAACAAACAAAAAACTGGGGTTGGGGATCTAGCTCAGTGGTAGAGCACTTGCTTAGCAAGCGCAAGGCCCTGGGTTCAGTCCTCAGCTCTAGAGGGGGGAGGGGGGGTGGGGGGTGGGGGGTGGGGGGGCGGGATGGGGACGGAGGACCAAACAAACAAAAAACTTCATTCACCTGCCTGACATCCATGTATACAAGCATAACTAAAACTAGTTTTGCAACTGAAGCTACTTAAATAACATTATAATGAAAGTATTTTAACCCAAATCCGAGAAACAGGTGAATGTAACAGGTCTATTAGATGGATGGATGGATATCTACATCTATTTTACTTTGCACCATGTGTCTACTTTCCAATATCACAATTTTAGGTCTCCTGAAGACAATACAGCCTCCTGAGTAAACAGGGCATTCTGTGAGGAACTTTCGTCTTTGGTGTCAGCCCTGCCTGCCCTCTTTGAAATGACCTAAAGGCAGGCATTCCTTAATTAATATATGTATATATAATTAATAAGGTCAGTGCTCATTTATAATTAACAGTAGAGCTTGATATTTTCTTGTACAACACAATCTATAATACACAGATGTGTGTGTGTGATTCCCCCCTCCCAGAACTTATGAGACAAACTGAATACTGCAGGTGACAAGGTATCTCAGTGGTTAAAGGCACCTGCTACCAAGCCTGATGCCCCGAGTTTGGTTCCTAGAACCCATATAGTGGAAGATAAAAAACCAACTCCCGCCGGGTGGTGGTGGCGCACGCCTTTAATCCCAGCACTCGGGAGGCAGAGCCAGGTGGATCTCTGTGAGTTCGAGGCCAGCCTGGACTACCAAGTGAGTTCCAGGAAAGGCGCAAAGCTACACAGATAAACCCTGTCTCGAAAAACCAAAAAAAAAAACAAAAAACAAACAAACAAACAAAAAAAAACCCAACTCCCCAAAGCTGTCTTATAACCTCTACCTGTATGCCATGGCACGTGTGTGTCTACACACACATACACACACACACACACACACACACACACACGCAAACTAAAGAAATAAAATTTTAAAAAATTTAAAAGATTATATGTGCAGGGCATGGTGTTGTACACCTTTAATCCCAGCATTCAGTCTGCTTCCCTCTGTGAGTTCAAAGCCAACCTGGTCTACAAAGCGAGTTCTAGGCCAGCCAGAGACACCTAGTGAGATCTTGTCTCAAAAAACAAAAAAATAAATAAAAAAGAAGAAAACTTATTGAAAAATGATGTCAAATATGGAACCTCCATACGACATACGGTAGAGTCAATGATTACCTATCACTAGCTTCTGTGAGTACTGCAACCACTTTTTTTTTTTAAAAGGAACTTCAGAACTCAATTCTAATGGTTAAAGAGTAATGTGCTGGCTAATTTTGTGCCAACCTGATACACAGCTTCAGTCATCTGAAAGGCAGGAGCCTCAACTGAGAAAATGCCTCCACATGATTGGGTCGTGAGCAGACAAGCCTGTAGGGCATTTTCATGATTGATAGGGTGGGCCCAGCCCATTGTGGATGGGGATATTCTGGGGCTGGTGGTCTTGGGTTCTATAAGAAAGCAAGGCTGAGCAAGCCATAGGAAGCAAGCCAGTTAGCAGCACTCCTCCATGGCCTCTGCCTCAGCTCCTGCCTCCAGGTCCCTGGCCTGCTTGAGTTCCTGTCCTGACTTCCTCTGATGATGGACTGCAGTGTGGAAGTGTAAACCAAATAAACCCTTTCCTCCTCAACTTGCTTTTGGTCATGGAGTTTCACCACAGCAATAGTAACCCTAAGACTAATCATTTGGCCAAGAACTGAACATCAGTTCAGCATGAATTAATTTCAACAAAAAAGGAAACCCAACTTGAGCTTAGTGTGCTGCTCTGCTACTTACCGGGACTTATAGTAAAACCAAAGTTGAGCATAGGACGTTACAAGGTAAATACGTTGTCCATCTCCTGCTTTGCACTCCAAAGCAAATACGTGAACATTCTATAGAAAATTTAAAATCATTTTGAAAAATTTACAACATGCAAATCTAAGTTCAACTGTAACTAATGAATGTTCATAAAGAATTTTGCCACTCAAGATAGCAAAATTTGGAATACCAACAATTAACTTATTAAAACTAAGATAGTCACCACACCATGCTATCTCAAATTTATATATATTTTTTCTTTCATATTTATTTATTTTATTTCATGTGTGTAAGTATTTTCTCTGCATGTATGTATGTATACCATATGTGTGCCTGGTACCCAGAAAGGTCAGAAGAGGTCACTGGATTCCCTGGAACTGAAGTTATGCATGATTATAAGGCATCATGTAGGTGCTGGGAATCAAACCTGGGTCCTCTGCAAGATATGGTACACATACATACATGCAGATAAGACACACACACAATAAAATAAAACTTAAAAAGAAATGTCATTATTGTTCATTACTAAAATATATTAGGAGATTAATGGATTCAAAGGGATATCTTTATAAGCTGTGTGCCATCAAGATTACTATTGTGTTATCTTAGTAAAGTATCTTATTTGAAATGATAGCAAATAATTTTTTTAAACGTTGAATGTTACTTGAAATTAAAAAAAAAAATAGAGCAAGCACCTCTTTACAGCTTTTAACAAAATTAAAAGCTTGATTCTGACGATGAAAGAGCTTCCAAACGGAGGATGGCTCTTCTGGCTTGGACAATCTTGGTCGATACACAGAGGACAACGGCTTCCTCTCGTAGTGAGACGCTCGCTCTTCAATCTGCTTCAGCGTTGCTTCCCACTTCCTCATCGTTGGTTCGGAAGCAGGGAGAGGCTAAATCCAGCCTCAGAAACCTCTCTATCAACGACTACTAAACAAACAAAAATGTCAATTTCTTTGTTTAGACTGCATTCTGCCTGGCATAATCTCAGATCTGGTTTCCTGCCAGGTATGTGCTCCTTTGCTTTACATTTTCTTCTTTGCACAAAGCCTCACCAGAGAACAGAAATGGGGCTGGCCATCAGAAATCCTTAGATCCTAGCTTCTTCCCTCTACTAGTCTGATGACCATGGAGAGATTAATGGAGCTCCATAAAACCCGGGTTTAATCAATTGCAAAACTGGAATCAACAGAATCTTGAACGTTCTATGCTGTACCTTGAGAATAACTGCGATAAGACATAGGAAAATGTCTTATGAATTACAAAGCCCATTATAAAGTAAATGCTTTCAGTATCATTATGACTTTCATCACAGCCAAGCTATTGCTCAGCTGATGCTCACTATCTTGGACCCTGCTCTTGCATTACTATTTCTCAGTGTATAGTTCACATCTAGGCACCATGAACGCTTAGCTTTCTGTTCTCCTCTGTTCTCCCAAAGCAACAGAGGGATGGCAATTCTGCTCTAAGCATAGCTACGTTCATATGTCACTATACACTTTATGTTTCCCAGGAGGAGATGCCGTCTAAGCTCAGTCACACACTGACTCCGGGCTTGACCATGTGACTTGCTTGGGCCAAGGCCACACTGACAAATGGAAGATCAGGTGCCTCTGTATCAGACTTGGCTATCTTGGAGTCCTGTCCTGAGACTGCAGAGTCATCAATCTAGCAAGGGGAAGAGGACCATCGTTCTGCACATTAGAGGATGAAGGCCACACGAAGAAGGTATCCCAGGCAAAGCCAATCAGATACATGAGTTAGGACACTTCAGATCACACAACATTAAAACTGAGTGAACTCAGGGCAAAGTGTAGAACTGCCTAGCTTTAACCAGAAACCCACTTAATAAAATTTGGTTTTTTTTTTTAAACCAGTAAGTTTTGTGCTGGTTTTTACACAAAATTAGATAAATTGAGGTTCTTCGTCAATATCATCTACGTTATTATTTACTCATACAGAAAACAGTCATATTAGTTTTTAAGTGAAACAACAAAATATACTAAAGCATTTAGGGGCAAATTATTATTTACCTAGGCAATGTCTTTGTCTTCAGTTGTAGCAGAAACCTTTGCAGTGACAGAATCTCATTAGCAAATGACATATTCCCTGAGAAGAAAAAACAAAAACACTGAGAAGACAGACTCCTCCACAGTCAGTTTACTTTACTTTAATCCGATTCATATGTACACAAAATTCTGCTATATTTCAAAAAAAAACTGAGTCGATTCTATTCTGTGCAATTTATTATATTGTTGTCTCCAAACAACAAACAGAACGCAATCATGTCTGAATCATAGATTCAAAAAAGTAACTAAGAATGGCCATAAACATGTCCACATTTGGTGAACTAAAATCACTCACACACACACACACACACACACACACACACACACACACACACACACTAAAACAACTTGGTATGACTGTGGGAATATGCCGCACACGAAGGTCTTGGAGTCATAATGCCAAACCAGTTGAAGAGCCACGGCTGAGGGGAGGGCAGGGGAAGCAATGCTTACCATCTACTATGCCCCCGCATTGTTCTCACAGCTGGAAATGTGTGACAGCTGGAGCAGCAGAGAACAACTGGGGCTTGAACTATTCGAGCAGGGGGTGCTGAAGGACAAAAGCGGACAAGATGGAGTGCAAGGCAGCAATGGCTTCTGGTTTGGGGCTATCATATTCCCCATCCCAGCCTTCTGGGGGAACATGACCCCATATTAGAAATGCTTTCAATTCCTGGTGTGAAAAGAGAACTATTGTTCTTTTACACGATTTTAAATGCCAAAGCTCCTTTCCACTCAGAGACTATTTTTGGTAATGGACCACAAGTTCCAAAGGAAAACACTTGTACCAGTTTAAAATCACAGGCTTACAGACCTCTCGTGTTCATTTCTGCACCAAAACAGAATTTATCCACGTTTGCAGCGATCTTAACAGTTGGAAGTGTTGGAGTTAGAAAATAGGATTAGTCATTTTACGGTAACTACTGGGAGAAGGGGAAAGCGGGATAGAAGTGGAAAGCTGACCAAGTTCCCTGGGTTTACAGACTTGTCTATGGAGGACTGTGGATGGCCTGGCTCCCAAGAGCAACTGGACTGGGGTGGGGTGGGGGGGAGTGGGGGTGGAAAGTAGTATGACACAACACGGGTGCTGTATAGTCACCATCCGCTCACACTGATTAATGCTGTCAACTGGACTGGATTTCAATATGCCCACACTTGTAAAGAATACTTCTCGGGGTGTCTGTGAAGTCACCTTCAAAGGCAGTTAGACCATGTAGACTGTAACCTACTATTCATGAATCCTTTGATGGAGTCATGATATGATGGTATGACTGGGAGATGGTGAAGAGCAGGAAGCGGGGCCTAGTTTGAGGACAGACATACTGCTTTCTGGCTGCCATGATGTAAACTGCTGGTCTACCATGCCGCCGTCCCAGTCAAGATGGGCTGACAGCTTTAAAGCACAAGTAAACGCTTCTTCCGCTAAGTGATTCCACCAGGCACTCTACCACAGCAACGAGAAGTCTAAGCAGGTTACAGGCACACCTGAAGCTCCCGTTAGCCGTGTTCACGCTACCACAGCAACGAGAAGTCTGACTAAGCAGGTTACAGGCACACCTGAAGCTCCCGTTAGCCGTGTTCACGCTACCACAGCAATGAGAAGTCTGACTAAGCAGGTTACAGGCACACCTGAAGCTCCCGTTAGCCGTGTTCTTCGTTCCTTCTTCCTTTCCTTTTTCTGACATGGGCTGTTCCTATGGTTGCCCAAGCTGGCCTCACACTGAAGATCCCCCTGCTTCAGCCACCCAAGTACTGGTGTTATAGGCGTGTGCCACTACACAGACTCCCATTTCTTGTCTAAACATCAATCAACCCCCATTCCATCTCCAGCTTCTCCCTCTACCCTGAGATGAGATCCATGGGTATTGTGTTTACTGGAGATATTCTAGTTTCAGTGCTTATGATGTTCTTCTGTTTAAAAATACTGAACAATATTTTGTGTGTATGTACACATTCGTGTGTTTGTGTGCACATGTGTATAGGTCCACATGTGTGCATGAATGTGCAGGCCAAAAGGATGATAGGTCTCTTCCTCAATCACTCTCCATCTTATTTCTTAAGACGGGGTCTTTCACTAAACCTGGAGCTCATGACTAAGCTAGACTGGATAGCCAGTAAGCTCCAGGGATCCCTCTGTCTCTACCTCCCCACAATGCCTGGCATTTTACATGAGTGCTGGGGATCACAACTCAGGTTTCCATGTTTGTACAGCCAGAACTTCACCAACTATGCCATCCCCCAGCTCCTTCACCTTTTCTTAATATTACCTCGTTCATGAACTCTTTCTAAGTTTTATTTACGAGTCTATTTGTGTGAATGTACATTGTGTGTGTGTGTGTGTGTGTGTGTGTGTGTTCTTGGAGGCCAGAAGAGGGTGTTGGATCCCCTGAAGCCAGAGTTACAAGTGGCTTCAGCTATCTGAGTTGGGTGCCAGGGAACTGAACTTGGATCCTCTGGAAGAGCAGCAAGAGCTCTTAACTACTCAGCCATTTCTCCAGCTCCTTTTGTATGTACGCCCCTCTACAATAGCTCCGACTACTTAAGCATTCACTCTTAAATCGTCATCTTAAGGAATGCTATTAAAATTCACTTACCAACATATTACTATGTAAGCTTACTTTCCAGGATGTTTAACAACATTTTTTCCCTGCAGAATCTGGCCCTAAAACGATTATCTACTAGACTTCAAGTTCAGTTTTCTCACCAAATGGAAGGCAATGGCCACTCCGAGCTTCAAGACTACTTCGGAAGCCCTCTTACTCCAGCTGCTCCCACCCTGAAAGCATCCCTTGGCTTTTCCTGAATTCTTCCTCTCTGGGGAGACCCAGAACCCCTTCTGCTCCCTCTGGGTCACCGCTGTAAAGAGAAATTACAGGGCTCAGACAAAAGGCATCACCTCCAGGCGTTTTGCTCTAACAAGCTTCTCTAGTCGAAGTCAATATAACCCGATCAGAAAATTGCTGCCAAGTTTTATCTAACAGTATCATTTTGTTAAGAACCTTTAGCACAGGGAGGGGTGAGGGCCCACAAGATCAGGATTTCTCAAATTAGTTCCTTCTTTGTAAACCACAGCCTCCAGTGGTTTACATTTCCACTAGGAAATGGCTGATCACCACTCACTGTGGGAGGGAAAAGGATAGATGAGTTCGTTTCTGGAATCTGCACTTAACTACCTGTGGCTCTGTTCTTCGCAAGAGCAAGGCATTTAACCTTTTTAAAGCCTCTGTTGGAACCGGATAAAATATTACGTATTTTGAAATGTACTGTATTCTGTATTATGAAAATGCAAGAGCACGGATTTTTTTTTTTTTTTTTTTTTGCACTTTTTTTGCCTTGTGCCCTCAACAAATGGTAGACACCTGGGTACCTACGTATACTACCGTCCCTCACATCCAACCAGGCGAGAGCGTTCGCAAACAAGCTGCTGCTCTCGTGGGATGAATTGGTCGTCAGGGTATCCGGAGCCCCTGAAATCCGATGCCGAGTGCTGCACTCCTGTTTTGTCCTTTTATGCAAAACACGCTTCACCGCGTCAGCGTCTGAACTAGGATCTCGAACAGTCCGGCATTCAGTAAGGTAGCTGAGGGAAGGGAGAGTTGAGCGGAAGTGAAGAAAGGCCTCGGTTGGAGAGGAAACAAGAGATTCCGAGGGAGGGGTGCAGCCCTAGTTTCCCCTGGTCGGAGCCCATCTTTGCGCCCCCCGGAATCGGGGGCGGCCTAAAGACGTCTCTAAGTTTACCTCAGGTGATGCACGTCGGCCGGCCGGAGGCCTCTGCCAGCCCGTGAAAGCTGCAGATGGCGGGAACGGAGCTTCAAACCCCCGCGCGGGGCGGGGCCAGCGGGGGCGGGGGCCAGCGGGGGCGGGGCCGTGGAGGGCGGGGCCGTGGAGGGCGGGGCCTGCGGAAGCCCCCGCTGCGGCGGCCCAGCTCCAGGGGGCGGAGCACCGACCCCGGCTGAGAAAACAAGTCTGGACCGGCGCGCACGAGGCGGGGGTTTGGGGGAGGGGCCGGGGCGGGCCGTGGGCGGGGCGTGGCGTGGGCGGGGCTAGGGCAGCGGGGGTAGCTGCGGTTGCCGTGCAGGAGCTGGTGAGATCGAAGCCGGGTGTCCTGCGTCGTGGATCTTGGAGCGGCTCGGTAAGTGCTGGGGGCCCTCACCCCTTCCCGGGCCTGCGCCGCCGCCGGGAGCCGGCGTCCTCAGCCTGCCCGTTGTACAGCTGCTTCGAGGAGGTGGGGAAAACAGGCGATCTGGGTGGAGGATCCCTTTGTGTTGCCTCCTGGCTTGCTTAGGCATGCACCAAAGGCAGAGAAGCTGGAAACCCCGCAGGGGGCGCGATCCCGAGCTGGGAGCCCAGACCCGGGAGGCCGAGCCAGTGTCCCTGAGCCCGGGTGAAGCGAGGCTGGACTCAGACCCCCGAGCCTGGCGCACGCGCCGCGCCGAGGAGCAAAAGGCGGAGCCCCGGATCGGTAGATCGCCCCGAGCACAGAGCTTCTGGGGCGGGAACTGGGCAGGAAGGGGGTGAGCTCGGAGGCGGGTGAGCTTAGAGGCCGGGTGGCGGGAGATGGCGGGAGGTGGCGGGCTCCTAGAGCCCTAGGCCGAGGCGTGGACCCGGGAGCAAAGGATGGATAAGGGAAATTCTGCCCTGGGGCCTCGAGACCAACCTGATGCTGACCTTGAGGCTAGCTCTAAAAGACATAGCCTCCTACTGCACGAGTGTTTAGTCTCTACCTCTGGTTTTCTCGAGTTCACTGTGTGATTTTGGTTCTTGCAGAGAGCTGATTTTAAGCATTGCTTCCCAACTCTGTGTCTCATCCCGAAGCCTTTCGTGAATACCCCAGCTCATTCCTTTGTTGGTCAGTCACTGTAGGAGCTGCGTTGACATCCCTTGGGTCATGCTCATTTATTGTCACTTATTAGTGATCTACTCTGAAGCCCGGCTTGAGCAGCTGGGTCTTTGCCCCTTTCTCAGTTGAGTCACCCAGGAAACGTCCTTTTCAGGCACCTCTCACGGACCCCACTCCTTCCGCTGTTAGGCTGTTAGTCAAGGAGCCCTGGCCCTTCTGCTGATAAGTCTTTTCCCAACACATTTGCTTATGAATAGGAACTCCTCCTTAGGTTTCTGTTCTTAGTAAACAATTCAAGGGTAAACCTTCCCGTTTCTTCCTTTGCATCAGGCATTTCCTGAAAGCAGATGTGTCATAGCCTCTACTTTTGCTTGTTTCCCAACAAAATTGTGAGCAAACACCACTGTTTAGCATGGTGCCCTCCTTACTGGTGTTTTGGACAAGAGAATGCTCATCCATTTGTTTGATTCCAGTAAAAACGATTCATTGAAATGTGGAGGCTGGTAACACTATGAGTGTGCAGAACAGCAGAAGGAGATCTTGCTAAGCTGGGTGTTTGGCCAGCCACTGGGAAGCCACTTTCAATGTGTTCTGGTGGCCATGGCAAGAGCTTGAATCATCCCCTCCCACAACCCAGTGTTTAAGCTTTGGCTTTGATTTGCTGTCCAGCAGAGTACATTGGAAAGTAAGACTGTTTTAGTGAGTGGACAGTTTATTGAAATGTAGCAATGGACCTGCTTGTTACAGAGTAACAAGTGAAATACTGCACCTAATTAGATCAGATTGCTTTTGTCATTCTGAAGAAAGGTCTTGCCTCCTGCCGTCTTAAGAACCCTATATCAGCCGGGCGGTGGTGGCGCACGCCTTTAATCCCAGCACTCGGGAGGCAGAGCCAGGCGGATCTCTGTGAGTTCGAGGCCAGCCTGGACTACCAAGTGAGTTCCAGGAAAGGCGCAAAGCTACACAGAGAAACCCTGTCTCGAAAAACCAAAAAAAAAAAAAAAAAAAAAAAAAAAAAAAAAAAAAAAAAAAAGAACCCTATATCTTTATCTGATATAAGCAGTTACTGTGCCACTCTGTTTCCCTTTCGAACCTAACAACACACCCACTTCATCACGCCCTTTCTAAAGTTACAACACAGTCCTTATTTTCTTCTAAGACCTTGCATTAGTTCTGGTCTTTGAGTTAGATAATACTTTAAGTTCTACACCAGTGACGGGGCTTTTAAAGAAAGATGTGGAAATTCTTACACCCTTAAGTACTGTTATATATTCATTTAACAAATTTTAAAAAAAAGCATTGAAGAGGAAACTTTCCTCTCTGTGTCTGACCATCCGAAGCCAGGTCCCAAGGCGCTTACCAGCTCATTCATAAATCAGGCATAATCTATACAATCCATAGGGTTGCTGTAAAGATCAGATGAAATAATGTATGTACAATGTTTTGTTGAGTGTGAGGTTCTACATAATAGTTTTTGTTTGGGCCTTTTTGTCCTTACCTTCAATGTTCCCTGTAGAGCTTCTTCATTCTGCTAAAAGTACAATAAAATTATCTAACGAGAACTGAACATGGGCTAGCATCTATCTACCCTGCTGCCGTTTTTAAATACCAGTGAACATGGATAAAAGCTCTGTAAAAGGGTCTGCCTCTTCTGCTACTTCAGACACTCAAGGTCCAGTGCAGCTTTTGCATATAGTTGATAGTCAGTAAATTATATAGTTATCTGTAATTTATACAGACACTTATAAAAGACATTCAGAACCTTCTATTCTGTATTTTATTTATTTCAACAAGAATGCTTTCAAGCTGGGTGGTGGTGGTGCATACCTTTAATCCCAGAACTCAGGCAGAGGCAGGCGGATCTCTGTGAGTTCCAGGCCAGCCTGGGCTACAGAGTGAGTTCCAGGAAAGGCACCAAAGCTACACAGAGAAACCCTGTCTCGAAAAACAAAAAACAAAAAACAAAAAAAAAAAAAAAAAAAAGGAGCATATGGGGTCTTAAGGTCTGCAAGGGCTTTGCTGTTTTCTTTTGTCCCTCCAAAAATTGTGGTCTGAGGGTTTCATTTGGGAGTGGATGAGACTTTGCAGATAGTAAGTGCTCATTCTTTTCGACTTGTAGCACAAGGTCAGGTAGGTTCAGCATACCAGTCTGCTTCCCCTGTTGTGTGGCCCATACCAGAAACAAGAAAACAAGATCATGTATTTGTCCCTAAGTACAACTGAACTGTTCTCTGTAATTTTTTCCCCTTCCCAGCTTTCATCTTTTCACTTTCATTCTATTCTAAACATTAAAAGATTGGCTTTATCAGGCTCAATGGCATCAGTCAGTTCAATGTGTCCCCAAAGGAACTGAGACCAGGTGGGACAGATTTGAAAAACAAAACAAAAAGCCACTGGTGTACTACAGATGAAATCTTTTCCTAACCAGACTATTGTGAAATGGGTGCTCTTTCTGTTTCGTTGACTTAATGTGAAAGTCCCAGCGCTTGTGAGGCTGTGTCCTCACTGAAAGGCAGTCAATACAATCCCGACCTTTCTCAAATTGTTCTGCACAGATACAGGTGGGCTTCCCGGAAGCCACACTGCTACGGTGGCTTCCCCTTCCTATTGACAGGAAGGTAGGTAGACCTATAGAAAACATTCTGATGACTTTCATTGAATGACTGAATGCTTAACTAGATATTTTACATTTATAAATAAATTACCCAGTGGCATGAGAAACATCATAATCATTATCCCTATTTTCTTCATTGCAATAAGTACACTATAGTTGACCTCTTGCATTTACCCACCCACAGGTAGGATTTCAGAGACTAGACACTGAATCTGTATTGAAATGTACAGACTTTTTAGTCATCCACTGATCAACACTGCATAAAAATGTTATGTTGTATTAGGTATCATTAGTAATGAATAGTAGTAGGGATGCTTAGCTTATCTGTAAAAAAAAAAATGCACCATTTTATACAAAGGATTTGGATTTGCTATTTGAGGCAGGTTCTAGAACCAGTCATCCAGGAGTGCTGAGGAACAACGGTATATTTGATTTCAGTTTTTAACCAGTTTCTGTCATGTTGTACATGTTTTAAATCTCACTTAATTGGAGCACTTCGGCTTATGGGTTTTTGTTCCCTTGAAATTAACTGTAGTTCTGTCACTCCTATATGGTGTTGAGCGGTCCAGAGACTATACAGTTGAGTTTGCTACCTGGAGCTGGAGCTGTGACTCTGTCACTTAAAAAGTGATTGACTTTCTAAGTTCCATTTAATTCAGATCTAAAGTGGAACCATTATGCGTCGGTGTTATTGGGAAGCCCAGTTGAAAATACTTGCGCACTGCCCGATCTAGCATGTGTGAACTGGAAGTAAGAGGAATGCTTGCTTGTTAAGTCTTTACTCCTAATTTTGAACATTCGTATCAGAAATGAGGAGTGTTGATTCTTTTGTGTCATTATGAGATTTAGAAAACAGAGACCAGATTTGATGCCTGGGCTCATGAGGTCTTCGTAGGTCAGCCACTGGAACAGCCCGATGATAGGGGACAAATTTCTTCGATGAAAGACACCCCAAACTGAGTCTGGGGAGGTGGTTCAGAATGTCAAGTGCTTGTTATGCAGTCATGGGTACCCGAGTTCAGATCCCTAGCACCCACGTGAAAACTGAAGGTGGTGAACTCTGGCTGTAATCCTACCAAAGATAGGCAGAGCCCAGGACCCACTGCCTTAGTCTAGCCAAAATAGAGAGCTCCAGATTCAGTGAGAGAGTTTTGTCTCAAAAAAATAAGGTGGTAGGCAATAGAGGAAAATACCAAAAGTCTGCCTCTGGCCTCCCTGTGCTCAGGTGTAGGCAAACACACCCTCACACTCATGTATATAACACACACATCTACCTCTAAAAGTGGTTTGTACTAATGTAACATCTCATTCCAAATCCCTACCATAAGCAATCTTTCATTTACCTATTTTGTAATGGGTATTTATTTGTCTTGTTTCAAGTTGTTATTGATACGTTATACCTCACTGTCTAGTTTTTGATTTTAGAAATAACTTCTGTTCCTCTGCCTTAATTCCAAAGATTACTTGTTCTGTGTCCTCCACGGTTGCAAGGGGAAACTGTCAAACACCCGTGTAATAGAAACAAGTTCCAATCTCTTGCTTCTTTAAGGCAAGCACAGCTTGGGGTATTTAAATCTCTGTTTCAGATTAGTGACAGCAAACACATGCCATCATTTCCAAACTTTTGAACAGATGGTTGATGTTGCTTCAGTGATCAGGGGATCTGGGAACTAGAGAA